TCAGATTGATACAAAGTAGAAAAACATCAAACATAAACATAGACCGGACGTGGCAGGGTATTTATCCATCCCTCATCCCTAACTTACCGTATGTATGTTTATGTACGTATAGCCAATGTTTATTGTCTTTGGTAATAATCCAGTAGTTTTGGTTTTTAAACCAATAAAATATCTTAGCTTATATCTAATCTAGCCCAACAGGACATACACCATGCAGTGCTCTGGTGCCTGACTACGGCAGTGTTAGGTTCGTCTCCGTGAGGGCTATGAATAATGATCGTCCATCAGGGAGAATGCAACGCCTACCAGTATCTCGGAAAGATCGGCACATCCCCCTTCAACTTACCTAAAGTTTATTACATATGGGACACATTACTTTGATGGTGGAGGTTTTAGGCAACCTTGACTACCAATGAAGGTCTTGCACATGTGGTACAATACTTACTACGACGAGGGGGGTTTTTAACGACCTTGACTACCCATGAGGGTCTTGCACGGTCGGCCCTGCATGGCTTGCGCCTTTTGGGGCATTTAATAATTTATTTTATACCTTATGGTAATTGATATAATTTTGAAATTTAAAAAGAAAAAAATATATATAACATGAATAAAATGTAAAATGGACAATAATTTGATAAATAAAATAAATAAATAAATGAATAAATAAATAAATGAATTGAGGAATAAAAATAATAAAAAAAATAATAAAAAGAACTTAAATAAATAAAAGAAAATAAAAAAGAAAATTTTTAATATAGAACAGGGAAAAAATAGGAGCCACCAAAAGCCGGAACAGAAGGAAAGGCCAAGAAAGCAAACAACAGTGGGCGGCAGCAACGTTGTCATGGTACACCAGCGCGGAGAAATTTGATATACCAAATTGTGTATGTGAATTTAGTAGCCAAAATATTTTGTATAAACCCAAAAAGGCCTAAATATGTGTATGTGATTTTAAGGAAAATAATTAGTATAAGGTTTTATATGCATGTGTATATATATATAAAAAAAAAGAATAAGTAAAGAAAAGAAAACCAAAGATTGGATGTATAATTTTGACTGCTTTGTGCAAGCCTAATGTTTACAATACTTCGACGAGGAGGTGTTTTAACGACCTTGACAACCCATGAGGGTCTTGCACGGTCGGTGACAATACTTATATTAAAATGAAACAACATATTTCAATAGAAATCATGTTTGCTGCGGTATAAATGTATAAATGCTGTTGATTTCTTGCAGTTTATCTTATAAATATGAAGAAATTTTATTTTATTATGCTCTCATTTGCAAGTTGATTGTTTATCATTCTTTTTTGTCAAATATAATTGACTTTATGTGTTTTAGGGGAATTGAAAATAGACCTATTAAAGGGTGGTAACTGCATTTTAATTATCGCAAATGAATTAAGATAATGTGTGTGGGGGAAATAAGGTACGTGTTTCGTGTATATAGATATAAGAAGATGTGGTATGAGTGCCAATGAGACAACTCTCCATCCAAGTCACAATTTGTAAAAGTAAACCATTATTTAGGTCAAAGTACGGCCTTCAACACGGAGCCTTGGCTCACACCGAACAGCAAGTTATAAAGGGCCCCAAAAATGACTAGTGTAAAACCATTCAAACAGGAAAACCAACGGTCTAATCTATATAAAAAACAAGAAACGAGAAACACTTATGAACCACATCAACAAACACACATCTGAACATCAGGTTCCTGACTTAGGACAGGTGCAAATAAAAGCAGTGGGTTTAAACGTTTTAATAGGCGCTCAAGGTTGACCCTACCAGAAACAATAGTGTAACATCACAACATAGAAAGACACACTATAAAATATCAATTGAAATGGCTTAACTCAATCAAAAGACATATTAACAAAAACAAGCGAACATACACTGAACGAATAAATTTGATGTATGACACAATGTAAATACAAAATTAATAAAACAAGGGGGTTAGATGTCAGTAAAACAATATCAGAAAGACAACCATAACTTTGGACAAAATGCTGTCAAATAAAATAACGTACACAGGTAAATATATAATTTTGTTGTAAGGTATACATGGAGTAGGGAAATAATTTTTAGAAAATAAATAATTTTGTTGTCCCTAGTACGAGAACAAAAGTGAAAATTTATCGTCATACTAAACACTTGTCAAAGGTGGTATAATAATCAACTCCTCCTACAGCTTTAGTTCAACCCAGATCCTTGGCAATTCTCAGAAAGTAAGCATCACATTACACATTTGTTACAACTAAACTCCAACATTTGATGCAATATATATAGGAGGGGGTTTACAGAATAGAAAATAATAGGCAAATAATATAAAGAATAGAGAAAATTGGACCAAAAATTAAAGAATAGAGAAAATTGGACCAAAAATTAAAGAATAGAGAAAAATGGACCAAAAAATAAAGAATAGAGAAATATGGACCAAAAAATAAAGAATACAGAAATGAAAGACGCCCATTCAGACCCTTATATATTTACATTTTAGAATTAGATGAAATAACTCTACTATATTTAGATGATTTCAAAATTAATACATTTTTCCATTCGACACCGATTATACTAAAAGAAGTGAAGAGTGTCTCATCCCGAATTCCAGGGAAAATAAATGCTGTTCAAATCCCGAATTCCCGGAAGTATATATAACATTCAGTTTCGAATCTAATAACATTAATAATTAATTCCCTAGTCCCGATAAGTGTAAATCCCGAATTCCAGAAAAAAATAAAGAATAAAGGTCCCTACGTCCCGAAAAAGGTCCTTCCGCCCCTCATTATACATGGTGATTTTTACCTTTTTGTACTCACAGTGAATTATAGGTTTATCGTGAATCTAAAGCATGCAAAATTGACACTTTGTTCCCTCACATGATGAGGCTTATCAAATGACAGAGCACTTGGTTTTATTTCCTTTTTTTGTCTTTTCATTGCGGTGATTTACATATGCATCTTTGGCAAATATCTCACACTTCTTCCTAAAACTCATAGTAAGAAAGTTATGTTTTCGAAATTGAAAATTCTAGCATTTCATTGTCTACAAACTTCTCAGAATCATTGTAAAGAAGTCTAAAGTTACTGCTTAATTGATTGAAAATCTCCAAATCATACGGACTCCGTTAAAGATTTAATATGAGCTCGTCAGGGCCGGATCCAGCCATTTTTAAAAGGGGGTACCCAACCCAGGATAAGGGGGGGGTTCCAACTATATGTCCCCTTTCAAATGCATTGATCGTCAAAAAAAGGGGGGTTCCAACCGGAGTCCCCCCCCCCCCCCCCCCGGATCCACCACTGACTCGTTATAAAGAAAACGAGTAGAAATGTAAAAATGAAAATTGAGAACCACATTTTGCTTATAAATTTGCACGGTCATTGGTGTGATATGATATGAAAAGACATGGTCTGTCAACTATAGTGTTTCATAGGGTTGGTTCAGGAATTAAAAGTTTTGCCAATTTTGTGCACACTCCGACGTTGGACAGGAGGAAAAGATAAAATGCACTGGATAGATAGCATGCATGTGGAAAAAATGATACAGCAACCCAAAACAAATAACTAAACGACATCTTGAGGGCACGAAGCAACTTTGAGAGATCAGCATAAGTCTTTAACAATACTAAAGTCTTCACAGAAAATGAAAAGCTGTTACTCTACTGTAGTAAAGTTGTGCATGATTAAAAAAAGAAACTGTGAAAATAAGTTTTCAATACATGTATAAAAATTAGAAGATATGGTATCATTGACAACGAAACGAGACAAATTATTCACTAGAGACCAAATGACGTAGAAGTTGTCAATTATAGGTCAACGTACGGCCTTAACTATTAGCAAAACTCATATTGCATAACAAGCTATAGAAGGCACTGCAATAATAAATTAAAACAACACAAACAAGAAAACAGTTTTCGGACATACATACATCCCTTAACCCGGAATAATGGTGTAACAGCACAACATAAGAACAATTTAAACTACAAAATCAGTTGAAAACGGCTTGATTCGTCAGATCGATACAAAGCACAAAACAACTGACAGAAACACTAAAGATACAAAGTAAAGATCTGAGATTACTCAAAACTGCTAGTTCAAAGCCAATAACTCTTTTAAACCCTACACTTCATATTGTCTAAAATTGATATACTTTGGCATACAAGCATGTATGAATTTCGAAAAAAAAATAATAGTGTGTGGAGGTTTGATAGGAAAATACTTACTTTAGATGTAAAAATAGATCGCCGTTATGCTTAAACAGTAGAAAATGTAACAAACGCTCGTCAGAAGTGGTTTTAAAGATTTGAAAAAATAAAAAAAAAATAAAAAAAATAGATTAACAATTCTGGAATCTTTCAGCTCTCTTTTTCATATTAATGTTATTTCTGCCCATTTAAAAATTTGACACAGAGATTTATCATCAAATTTAGAATATGTTTGATCATTATATTATGAATACCATGATACTTTGACTTGTAATAGAGAGTTAGTGCACTCATAAGCTGCCATTTCTGACTATTTTATTTTGAAGAACTCCGTTCTTTTTCAAGTGATTAAAAATTGCAATGTATGTACATTCTAATGATTTTACATGTATAATCGTCTTATTTCCAATTCATTGTATTCAGGCCATGAAGCATGTATTTTTCGCACGTTTTGTTAAAGTATCTTAAGTGTTTCAGAGAAGAAGTTTTCTATCTTCATGATCTTATTATACCGATACAGATGCTTTACTTTGGTAATTACATCACCCACAAACAATGAATCATACATAATTAACATATCAAATAAAGGAATTGCAATCTTTATTTGTTTTTAATTTTTATTATGTATATGCTATTGTCATTTCAGTTCAACGAAATTTAAAGATTGATCTATTTTTTTACGTTTCAAATCTTGATTTGCTGACCAAATAAAACCAAATTAGGCAAATTGCTATTAAATCAATAAATCTGATAGGTTCTCGCACGGGACCAGTTATCTTTTAGCTAAAATCTTTACCGGAAGACATGGAAGAGTCTGCGCACTGAGTCATCAAGATTTGACAACTTACCAAGGATAAATTAACTCGATTCCAGCTTCTGCTGCAGTAATTCAGTGCAAAAGTACGTCGTTTTATGAAAAACACATGACTACTTATATGCTTAATTTTAATATGCACAAAAGACTGTCCTACTAATTCATCATCTGACCCTTGAATTAACTAATTTTCCACCCCTCTGTCTACCTCAAATTCAATATCTATTCTATCTTTGTCTGGGCAGTTCGCAGTATCCCTAGAACTGATGTATCTTATTTTGAGTAATAATAAAGAATTACTCATAGATTTGAATACTAGTAACAAGTTGAGCAATTAATTTAAACGTCATTTGTTGACCACTCCCTCATGTTTCAAAAAAAAAATGTAACTTTTTGCTTTATAAATTATATAGGTGTGATCCTTCCAGATGGTGTATGAAAAGCTTTATATAGAATAAATAAATATACAAAGCAGTATAATGTAAGATCAGCAGAGCTTTCAAACCAATATAGATATATTTACACATAAATTGAAAATAAACAAAAACATGTAATGCATATGATGCACATTAAAGATAACATCAAGATTCAAATCAAATTAAGCACATATGATAAATATGACATTGCCTAATCAAAATGTTCAAAATACATGACAAATTATAAAAATATAAGTTAAATAAAACTTGATGCATAAGAAGTGAAAATTAATGATATACTATCATGACTATAATGCAGTCCAATTAAATCGAATATAATATACTATTAAGAAGATGTGAAAATTGTAGTAAGGTTGCCAATGAGACAACTCTTCACCAGAGACCAAATGATGTATAAGTCAGCAGTTAAAGGTCACTGTGCTGCCTTCTTAAATGAGCAAAACCCATACTGCATAGCAAGCTCTAAAGGCCCTGAATTGTAAAACAATTCAAGCTACGAAACAAACAGCATGATTAATGAACAAGCCAATAAACAAAGAAAACCAAATAGGATATACAAAACACAACCTCTTACATAGATTTACAGATTGCTGTCTTGGGAGAAAAGGACATACAGAATGTGGTGGGGTTAAACATGTTGCAGGCATCCAAACCTTCCACTAACAAATACATTTCAAAACATACTTATGACAATGTATGAGAACCTTCTACATCATTTGGTCTTTAGTAGAGAGTTGCCTCATTGGCAATCATACCACATCTTCTTGTTTTTATATATATCCATAGATATGTGTCATACACAAGACTTTTCATGGATTTTAAAGAGTTATTTTTAAAAACACATCATGTTACAACATGTACAAATGTACATATGTATTAAGCTAAAACACTAAAACAATATTAAGCAACTAAGCTAAAGCAGTAAAACCCATTTGCTTGGCCAGGGAAAAATGATTGTTGGTTTCCCCTAACCCGACCAGGTCTACTTTATACAGCAGGTCGTTTATTTTTTTTTGACTGAACGAAAATAAAAAAACTGTTTGTCTAGTTCCGATCCAGGATTGTTGACAAATGTTTTTTCATACACGTTTCAGTTTTGTTGTTTAGAAGCATAACAATGTCATTGTATTTTTTTCCCGCCTTTGTTTCTGGATCATCAAAGTGCTTAACTGATGGGAAAGATAACAAAGATGAGAACTGTTTTGCTCCCCTGTTGTTTAGGTCCCCAAAATGGCTAACTTGGCACCAAGCGCCAGTATTCTATCAAGATTGAATCAGAATACATGGACTCCAGTTCTTTATGCTATTAAAGTCACCTAAGTTAAATACCAGTTGTCAAGTAAAAAAAAAGACTCCTGCCTGGCGGGCCTTGAAATTTTCTAATTTTAAGGGAACCATCAATCATTTTTCCCTGGCCCTATCAAGAAAATTTTGTTTCTGGATCGTCGAAGTGCTTAACTGATGGGAAAGATAACAAAGATGTGAAGTGTTTTGCTCCCCTGTTGTTTAGATCCCCAAAATGGCTAACTTGGCACCAAGCGCCAGTATTCTATCAAGATTGAATCAGAATACATAGACACCAGTTCTTTATGCTGTTAAAGTCATCTAAGTTTAATACCAGTTGTCAAGTAAAAAAAAAAACTCCTGCCTGCCGGGCCTTGAAATTTTCTACTTTTAGGGGAACCATCAATCATTTTTCCCTGGCCCTATCAAGAAAATTTAACAAATAGTGTAAAATGCATCTAATGTGTTCTTAAATTAGCTTAGCATTGGTACAAAAAGTAACAGGCAACTGGCATGATAGTGAAGAATGATAATAAGTTTATACATGTTATAGCAGTAGTTAAAGTGTAATGATTTGTTTGAATTTGTAGAGCAGAAAACAAACACACATTTTTACACGCTTTTTACCATGTGTTTTCTTTTCATGAAATATTTTTTTCATTATTAGAGAATGACAAGCTAACCAAAGATTCTACCTTTACCTACACACTCAATGCATTCTGCTGTAAATAATGCCAGTATGCAGAGATTGAGTTGCTTACATACATACATGTATCATGTGTATTAATTCATTTAAAAAAAGTAAAAAAATGCAGCAAAATGCAGTTGACAATGAAATGTAGAAGATGTTGTCTTTTGTAGGTGTAGAAGATAAAAAAATGGTTTGACACAATTGTACACTATACATGCTATAGGAAAGACACTTAATAAGTACAGTAACAAGAAAGTAGGTCAACACCCTTGTCTGGTTACAGAAAGTTGCAGCATTTTGATTAAGATCTCAGCGAGAAGTATTTCACTCTACATGTAGTTAAATCCAGGGGATATAGAAATGTAGCTAGCTAAATAAAATTTTGCAGGTAAAGTATTAAAAGGCATTGTTTTTATCAAGAAAATTATGGATCTATGGAAAAGTGCTGAAAAATGTTTTGAAACAAAAATTATTTTTTCTTCCGTTTGTCTATATATATAGAAGTTCTTATAATAATATATATCTACTTGAACATGTATATCAGTCTCAACAGCTCTTTGGAAAAACCTATTAGAAATGATTTAACACAGAACAACCCCAAATAAATGTATGTAACTGCATTTCCATTGGAAAACCTAGTTAAAAACCAAGTACACATTTATGTGGTCATTTCAACAGCCTCTTGTTAAACTTTTATTAATTGGGTTTTTCATTATTTTTTAAAATTGTTTTTGATGCAATAAAAAATATATCCAAATGCATTATACCTACGTAACCTACCAACAAATAAGTAAATCGACAGAACTGGTAAACAACAAACAAAATATATTTCAGAGTAGCACTCAATTGCAGGTATCTACACTGATCTAAAGCAAGATGGTGCAAGATGTTGCTTGAGACTGAGTATTGAAATAATAATTTTGTAGGTTGACCTGGTGTTAACAGTGTGAAAGAAAACACTGAAGAACTTTAATAACGTAGTTATTCTGGTTCTTTTAAGAATTATATAATTCCTTTCATGAAAACATATCTTTTTTTACGATGATTTTTGGATGTATATATATACAAGAAGTTAAATAACCAGTTGCTTTTTTCTGAAAGACTATTTTTATGGGACTAAAGGCTTTGAAATGAAATAACACTTTATAATTTTTAGCTCACCTGGCCCAAAGGGCCCAGTGAGCTTTTCTCATCACTTGGCGTCTGTCCTCCTTGTCTTTGTCGTCTGTGAATTTTTTACCATTTTTTCTCCGTTTTGCTATATATGATAAAAATTATAATACATGTAGATAAATAGACACTTTAAATAACAAAAATGATCAGCAAGGAAAGATCTATTAACAAGTCTAATTTTGCTGATAAAGTTAGAAGACTGTCACTCTTTATAGGAGTGGAATGTGATTGCCCTTAAATGAGGATTTTTTTATAACCCACCTACGATAGTAGAGGGCCATTATGTTTTTCTCTGTCTGTGCGTCCGTCCGTTCGTCTGTCTGTCCTGCTTCAGGTTAAAGTTTTGGTCAAGGTAGTTTTTGATGAAGTTGAAGTCCAATCAACTTAAAACTTAGTACACATGTTCCCTATGATATGATCTTTCTAATTTTAATGCCAAATTAGAGTTTTGACCCCAATTTCACGGTCCACTGAACATGGAAAATGATAGTGAGAGTGAGGCATCCGTGTACTATGGACACATTCTTGTTTTAACCTCTTTTGTGTTTTGAGCAAAAACTAAAGAAGATAGAGAGACACTAACTAACAGACTAAATAATCAGCATTAGAAGATCAACAAAAAAGTGATTTTTGTCATGAATTATATTCTTGTCTACAATGTTGGAGAGTGTCCTTTGTTGAATATATAAATAGACCAAGGTGAGCGACACAGGCTATTCAGAGCCTCTAGTTGTGCTTCCTAAGCACTTTTCTGGATTTACCTTCATCGAGAAGGCTCAAACCTAAACACTTGAAAGCTAGGAATCAAAAGAATGTGTAAATATATAGAAACTGTAAGGGCTACAATGATAAAAAAGTATTTTTTATTCATTACATTGGTTTTATAGATGAGTTTACCGAGACCATCAGGGCTGAAAGCCCCTTCAAAGATTGGCAAGCCTACAGGTCTGCCACTGCCCAAGTCGTCTATTCCAGCTCCAGACAAAGCCAAAAGTAAGTTATATTGTCTTGTTGTATGTGATAACATTTGTGTAGAAAAAGCATTGTGATGCATGTATCATAAATAAAAATAGTTTGTATTTCTTCATAATTCTGTTGTAAAATATATTTTTAGTTGATTACAACATGTTAGACAAGATATTCAAAATTTCAGTGTATTAAAAATCTACTTTTGATTTGCAGTTCCACAACAATGGTAATCTTATAATTAAGTCACAACAGTGTAATATTTTTGTTCCCGTGGAATGTGATAAGTTTTACACAGGTTATAAAATATGAGTCTGAGCTACATGAGAAGCATTTGGACGTATTATGGTATACCGTTGTCTGTCCGTCTGTCCGTCCGTTGTCAACATGTTGGTGAATTGTTTATATCTATTGACTTAAGCTCCCTTTTGATTTTTATAAATTTTAGATTTTACGTTTCCAAGTTGTGGGATTTTATTCTTAAAAAAGGGGGATTTTCCAGTTTTCGCATAATAACTCAAAAGTGCTTTGAGCAGTTTTCATGAAACTTTGGTGACCGGTTTATATCTATTAAAAGAATCTCCCTTTAGTTTTTTTGTAAATTTCTGATATGACATTGAGGTGTTATGGAACTTTATTCATTGAAAAAGCGACGGGTGTATCATGCGCTCATGGTGCAGCTCTTTATTAATTCAAGAACAGAAAAGGGAAAAAAACCACATCTTCCATTCTTGTGTTGTATAGATGGATGAAAGTCAAGTTAACTGTTAAGTCATACGTTTTTGTGATCTTTATTAATTGCATAAATTGAGACAGGATTGGTTTTCCAAAAAATGAAAATTCACATTTTTTTTATTTCGATAGCATTATTTATAATGTTCCTGGAATCAAAATTAATGTTACATTTTTCTGAATTGTAAAACAACTGCAATAAAAAATGCACACACAAATTTCTGAATTTACAGTATATTAAGTTTACTTGACTTTAACACTGTTCTATAAAAAAGAATATTGAGAAATAAACAGAAATTTGATTTTACAGGGACCATTCCATGTAAGTTTGTGTCAGGTGGTTTTTGTTAACATTTTAAAAATAACTTGTTTAATACATATATAAGGATATATATATATTTGAACACATGTTTAATGTGTAACAAATGCTAAAAAAATAATTACAATGTAAACATTACATATCAAACAGAAATAATGCTGTTGTTCAATGCTTTGATTTTGACAGATTTAGTACATCAAATTCATACCTATTTAAGCTACTTTAAATTGGATACAGATAGAATCATCAAACAAATCATTTGATTTGCATTGATAGTCATGAGATGATTGGTTCAGGCAGAGAAAATTTAGTTATGTTAATTTATGCAGAACATCTTTTTTAAATAATAGAATACCAGCTGTATGTGACCCATTCTACCGTTTCATTTGAATTATGCATATTGAAATTAACTTTTAAAAGACTTGGTTTGATGACCATTAGATAAAAAAAAATATGCATGTATAAATGTGTTAGCAGCAAAAGAATTGTTCTTAGCAGCACTAAAAATTATCTCTTCTTTTATAATTTGATTAGGTATTCCATTTCACATTGTCTTGTTTATGTTTTAAAGGTCGTTGATTATTTTCATAAAAATTCTTAACTTTCAAAATAGATTGTAAGTTATAAGTAAATGTTCATGTTTAAATATTCTCGTAAGACATTTGTGAAAACAGCTGAAATTCTTGCAATTGTTTTAATTTGAAATATATGTGAAACTTTAAAATGTTATTCTAACTTTTTTTTTCCAAGTGTTGTTTTCATTTTAATGTTTAAGCTTGGAACAGGAAGCTGTTTTGTTGATACAAACTCTTATAAAGACTTTTGGTTTCATTAGTATTATATATATTATATTATTCACAAAATACATCATATTACTTTAAATTTCATGGATTTATTAATGTACAGTGTTCCATTTTTACCACCTTTTATGAAAAGTTAATTGCAAGTCAAGGGAGATAATTCAGATTGTGGAACACTGTACATTTTGTATAAATTTGTATTTTGTTAATAATCTTAATTGTGAATTGAACTTTTGGGAGAGAGAAAAACATTGATGCCTTCCCTCACTCCGCTTTACTCACCCCTAAGCGAGAATTGGCTTATATGGCTATGGAAGTGTTGTCTCATTCAGGTAAAGGAATATGGGCTTTCCCTGCTTATACTGTTAGCCTAAATCACAGCCATGATGATGATAAACCAGCATGGCTTCCTTCACTTTCAAATCCCTATCAAAATCAATGCACATGCTTGCAGGACTTTACAAATTTCAGGGGTTCATTTGACTGAAAAATAATGATAATATTTTTATGCTACTTGGAACACAACTTTCATTCTTTCTCAAGTAACAGTATTATTAATGAAGTTGATCATGGCTCTATGATAAATTTGGGAAGAACACATGCTTTCAAGCCTGTCATGTCTGATATATAAAAAATCTTCTTCAGTCTAAGGAATGCATGAATTTCTATTCATATTTTTCAACTTTCTCTCTGTTCTTATATATATTATAATGATAATATACATATTCTGAAAAGCAAAATAAAGCTTTAAATATTTCTTTTTGATAGCCTTATTCTATATTGGTATGAAATCAAATACCAGACAGTTATTATGCCCCCGCCGTAGCGGAGGGGGCATTAAGTTTTACCCTTGTCCGTCTGTACGTACGTACGTACGTACGTACGTCCCGAAATTGGTTTCCGTTCTCTAACTTCAGTTTGCCTCAACCAAATGTTATGAAACTTATACACAATGCTTATTACCACAAAACACAGATCAAGTTTGAATTTTGGTGGCGTCACTTTAACCGATCTAGAGTTATGCCCCTTTATAAAAGGAAATATTGCAAAATTTTTAGTTTCCGTTCTCTAACTTAAGTTTGCCTCAACCAAATGTTATGAAACTTATACACAATGCTTATTACCACAAAACACAGATCAAGTTTGAATTTTGGTGGTGTCACTTTAACCGATCTAGAGTTATGCCCCTTTATAAAAGGAAAAATTGCAAAATTTTTATTTTCTTCTAAATATCAAGTTTATATAATATATTTTTAAAATTGGAGTTATCTTCCTTTGACCATGATTATAGTTGGATCAACTACAATCAATGCTTTATACAATGCAATGTTTAATATTGACTTCCACTGATAAAACACAGATCAAGTTGAATTTGGGTAGTGTCACTTTAACCATTATTGAGTTATGCCCCTTTATAAATAGAAAGATTGCAAATTTTTTTAGTTTCCATTCTGTAACTGAAGTTTTCCCCAGCCAAACATTATGAAACCTATACACAATATTCATTACCACAAAACTCAGTAAGGATCAAGTACAATTTTTTTGTTTCAGTTCTCTAACTTGAGTTTGCCTCAACCAAATGTTATGAAACTTATACACAATGCTTATTACTACATAATACAGATTAAGTACGAAATTAGGTGGCAACACTTTTACCATTCTAGAGTTATGTCCCTTTATAAACATAAAAATTGCTGAATTTTTTAGTTTGTCTCAACCAAATGTTGTAAAACTTATACACAACTGTTCTAGAGTTATGGGTGTTTACAAATAGAAAAATTGCTGAATTTTTAGTTTCTGTTCTCTACTTAAGTTAGCCTCAACCAAATGTTATGAGACTTACACACAATGCTTATTACCACAAAACTCAGATCAAGTTCAAATTTGGGTAGCGTCACTTTTACCGTTCTTCAGTTAAGTCTCTTTATAACTATATGATATGCAAGCGGGGGCATCATCTGTGTCCACATGTGGACACTATCCACATTTATTTTTTTAAATCTTCATGTAATGATTTTTTATTCAACTGCACTTGGATTTTTTTTTAAATAGCAGAATTGAAAACATTTCATTCTCATGGCTTTTCATGGTCTTGAAAAAAGCTTTACTTTGAGAAACACTATACTTAAATGAAAAACTTGACATATAAAAATTCATTGTACATCTGTATAACGAATAACTCAGTACTTTGAATATGATGAACGATTTTTTTCAAGACCATTAAAGAAATCATATTTAATTAACTTTGATTGAATCTTTTATTTCAAAGCATGTTTTTTGTTAACTTTGAATGTGTCCATTTATTTTTGTATTGATACATATATATTTTATTTCTAAATTGCCATTCTTTTAATGTTGAACATGTTTGCTACTATCATGACTATATTTTTGATACAACGTTAAATGAGAATCTGAATTTAAAATTGGTCCCTAAACCGACTTGCAGATTTTCAGTCTGTCACCATTTAAGATAGAAATAAAAATTCAAACACCTAGAATTACAAATTCATATTAAACGTACATTTAGAGATCTTAAATGTTTTTATTGACTTCTCACTTAAAGTAGACATGAATAAGAATGGCAGTTATCTCCCCTCAACCAATCGAATGTCTTGATTGTGTGTTGCTATGTTTCTGTTTATGTGTTGCTAGGTGCCATTGCTAAAAGTGCTCGTGCTGCAGGTTTTAGTGCTACTCAAGCTGATAAGTACGCCACCACTGTTGTCAATAAACTTGCAGGTAATTTATGTTTCCATGGTTTCATGTTGAAAGAAGTCACGAAAATTTCAAACCAATTTTAAGGCTAATTTATGCATATTTGTTGATATGTTACTCCGTCATATTGTCTATCTGTGTAAAGTGACTACTACACTACTGTGGACCTATGTGCTTTAGTGGGTACCAATTTTCTTGAAAAATAGTATTTTTTGTAGACATTTCATTTCCTTGTTTTGCTATAGTATATGCATACAGTGGATTCATTTGTTTGCATGGGAGCCAATTTTCGTGGATTGAGGAAAAGTAGTTTTATCGTGAATATTTTATTTTGTGGTTTTGCCAAAGTCTTAACACAAACCTATAGTAAATGCGAACTTCGTTGAACATTGTTAAAAATTCTTGTTCTCATACAAGAAAACTGGTATCCCATGAAAAATAATGAATCTACAGTACCAGTTTAAAGAAAATTTGAAGTTCTTTGGTCATTTAAATTTTTGTCTAGTCTATACCCAAAAAATCCAGATAAATGTTATCCCATAAATAATAATGAATCCACAGTATGTCAAAAATACAACTTAAAATATTGATAGTTATTTCCTCCAAAAAAAATGTGGTATGTTAAATCCGAGAAACTTAGTAGCCAATGAATAATGATGAATTCAAAGTATTTGCTCAAGCTTTAATACTAATACAACTCTATAGTAAACAATTGTCAAATACATTGTGGATCTGAAATGGCCATTTAGTAATAATTTCTAAAATATAAACTTAAAGGTCTATACGTTTATTTTACAAGTTGACCAGATTTAGATTTAGTACTGTATCTTATCATTAACACACCGAAAACTTGAGGGTAACTTTTTATTAACTGAAAAATATTTAAAAATAAATTTGAATTTTAATGTTTTAAGTATATGGTTAAAAAATAAGGGAAATTATTTTTACTTTTAAAATTTTCTGGGCACAAGTTTGAAGGAAAAAACAAATTATGTATCACCACTTCTCTCAAAATATAAAATTGATTATTTTATCTGACTTAGAAATTGAATACATGCATTTGAATGTTGTCTGCCTTCTATGTTGCCTTTCTTGCATGCCACTTGTCTTTCGTTGTGTTATGCTTCTACAATTTGCATTTCTACAATTCTTATTGATGCTGGTAGTTCACTACTTATCAATCTTATTTATTATTTGCATTAAAAAAAAAATTTCTTACTTTATCCCTTAGGATGAATTTTCAGATGCAAAAAAAGAAATATGGAACCTGTAATGTTTTAGTCGAATTGTTTAGGTTGTATGAGTCAATTCCTCAGTGGTTGTTGTGAAAGAAATTTTTGTTAAAAAATTTAGCATATCAATTTGGATGTCACAAACTAACTAGTATTTCAAATCATTTATTTGGTGTTGTAAAGTAGATCAGACATGTCTATTAAAAATCCCACACAGTTGGCAGTCTTCACGATAAACTTTTGAATCAAAGCTCAATTTAAAAAAAATTTTGTTAGATTCTATTGGCCTGTACAGAAGATTTTTACAGGCCAGACAGCTTTTTTAATTGGCTGGTGGGCCTGTGGTTAAGTGTGAAGACTTCACAGTTGGTCATACATTATCACCCTAGCTATCCTAGGCTGGTGGGCCTGTGGTTAAGTGTGAAGACTGCACAGTTGGTCATACGTTATCACACCTAGCTACCCTAGGCTGGTGGGCCTGTGGTTAAGTGTGAAGACATCACAGTTGGTCATACGTTATCACACCTAGCTACCCTAGGCTGGTGGGCCTGTGGTTAAGTGTGAAGACTGCACAGTTGGTCATACGTTATCAAACCTAGCTACCCTAGGCTGGTGGGCCTGTGGTTAAGTATAAAGACTGCACATTTGGTCATACGTTATCACACCTAGCTACCCTATGAGTAGATTATCTGTCTGAGTATGTGATACTGTTGTGTGAACGGTTATTTTGTTATTTCCATGATTAAGTTAACATCAGGTAAATGTCTGCTCACGTAAATTTTATCTTGAGGAAGATTAGAAATGGGCACTAGAACAAAGCAAAAATAAAAAATAAAATAGAAATCACAAAATTTAAAGTCTGTGAAAACAAACCACTTTACAGTTATGGCTGTTGCATTACGACATGCATGGTACCTTGAAAAGGAATGTGGGGAAACCATCTAATTGCTTTCACTGTACTCAACACCCACCCATGAATAAATTTTGGAAGTTTCTTCTCTGGGTCAAATGAATGTTTTTATAGAACGATAACTATAATCAATTGAGTAAGATGCCCTGGTAATCTTAGCTAGGTGATACAAAATTTGAAAAGGTTTAATATATTTTAAAAACACAAATTTTCAATTTTCATTTCTATATTTTTTTAGTATGGGGTAAAATTTGTACATCTGATGATCTGACTCTTTTTGTCAGTCTCTAGAAATCAAGATTGGACAGTCCTAGATGTCATAAAATGTCCATACTAGACACATAAATGTTGACCTTCAAGCAGATACCACTGCAGAGGCCATGTAAATATAACTTACTATACATCATATGTTACAGGCCCTGAATATGAGGTACCACCCCCTCCGTCAGATGATTTTAAAATAGGTGACAGAGTATGGGTAGGAGGGAGCAAGCCAGGTGTGATTGCCTTTCTAGGGGAAACACAGTTTGCCGCAGGAGAATGGGCAGGAGTAGCCCTTGACAAACAAGAAGGCAAAAATGATGGATCAGTTAAAGGCATCAGATACTTTCAGTGTGAATCAGATAGGGGTGTGTTCGCTAGAATTTCTAAATTATCTAGAACCCCAGGACTTCTACCGATGACATCGAAAATGGACGATACATTGTCAGAAACTCCTTTGAAACCAAATGGACCGGCAAGAAGACCAACAACCCCAAGCGTTACACCTTCCAGAGGAGTGTTTGGTTCTAATACTAGTTTAAGCAGAGCATCACCTGCCCCGGGAACCAGACCTGGAAGTAGACCTGCTTTAAAGGTTGGAGATCGTGTGTTTGTTAGTGGGAGTAAGATGGGTACGCTGCAGTACATTGGAGAAACAGACTTTGCTAAAGGAGAATGGGCTGGAGTTGAACTTGACGAAAAACAGGGTAAAAATGATGGTGCAGTTGCTGGTAAAAGGTATGGTTCTGTTTTAATGTGCTATATTTAATACCTTGCTTGTTTGAAACAGAATACATGCAGTTTTTGTTGAAAAGCAGATCTTGCCATCTCACATAAAATTGTTGATTAAATTTTAAATATTCAGCTTTTGTCTGAGCTTACCTATAAAAACTTCAGACCAAATGTTTTTATAAATTATTTCATTCAGAAAAAAATAGATTTGATCATGTGATGTACTTTCTCTCCAAGAGGTGAATTAGAAACTTTGTGTGTTTATTTTGGCTAATTTCATAATTAATTTAAATTTAAATCTGTTTATAAATTGTGGATGTAATTCTCATTTTGATGGAGAGATCCAACCAAGTGTAATGTCAATTCCAGTTATATAAAATATGCAACAATTTCTAAGAGAACATTTGTTCATGAAGAAGATTTTTATATTCTATTTCAGATATTTTGAATGTAAGCCAATGTATGGTTTATTTGCACCAATCCATAAAGTCACTCGTCTAACATCAGGAACAGCTGGTCCGGGAAAACCAGCTACGACTCCTACATCACAGTCCCGGTCTTTGATGAACACAAGTCTTCGTCTTTCCAAAGAGAGGAGTGGTAGTCAGGAATCAGTCAGTTCCATTAGCTCGTCAGCGTCCAGCGTGTCCCGTAGCCGGGTAAGGCTTGGAGTCACCTCACTCGGCAATCAGGTACATGCAGTTTACAAATTGAATATTATAAGCTTTAGATTTGGCTTCAGATTGTGACAATTTTTCAAATTGTTGATATTATATTATTTTAGAGGATCCCTTTTTAGATTGATTTTTTTTTTAAACACAGATTCGTATTTAAACTTCCATGGGGGAAATGAAAAAACATCCATGGGGAAAATGAAAATGAACATGAAAGATAATTTTTTTAAATTAGTTTCAGATGTTCAATCATAATTTCACTATTAGCTTTTCTATTTAATAAACTGAATAACACACAATCATTAACAATTTCTGAAGTGAAAAATGCATTCAAAAAATTCACCAACTAGTGAATAAATAAACCACAAACACTACATTAGAGTTGATCTAACACCTCTTTAATTCTTTTTGCTTTTACACACTTACACCCTTTTTATTTACTGACTGAATTTCAAGGGAGCTAACTTGCATTTTTTTTTTAGATTATTCACTGTTATCCTGTAATTTGGAGTGTGTAAAATTTTTGTTCTCAATTTAAGGCCTAAATATTCAGATCTGTCAAAGGAAATTACTTAGGTTTTAAATTAAAGCAATCAGAACTTTAATTATTTGCTACATTTGAATACCCTTCATGGATATTTTTTTTTTTTAAGAATTTCAAATTTTGAAGTATTCTTTCCTAGAATTGCCCTGGTGAATTAAAAAATGTGAAATTTACAGTTCTTGAATTGTATTTGATTAACTGATGCAGTTTAAATATTTTCTTAAATTAAAGATTTTAAAAGTAATAAAACAACAAAATAATTTATCGATTAAATCGTAACTGGGGACGAGGTTATGGGAAATATATAATATCACAATCTATTATAATATTGTCAAAAAGAAAAAAGACAAATTGAAAATTGCCAGCTCCAGGGGTTTTACTAATATCACCATTTCACAGTTATTTATTTTATTCCATCACTAAAACATCAATTCATCACATCAAAAATATTTGTCTCATCATTCATGGTTATTTTATTTACTAATATTTGTTTATGTTACATATTCATATCAACCATTTTGTTTTGTTTTTGTTTCCTTGGATGCACTAAACTTAAAAAAGATATCAGAATTCTCTTTAGATTGAGGATTCTCCTAAATTTTGATGATTGATAGTGTTTAACACCACTTACCAAGGTGTTGATTGATCGATTGTTGGTTTTTAATACCACTTTCCAAGGTTGTGATAACTGATGTAGCACAGGAAGTAGAAAATGTATATGATTTATTTATTTTAATTCATTTCCGAATTCAGATTAAAACCACAAAAATATATCCTTATAAAATTTAGATCTTTGAGGAAGATCAAAATTTGGAAGAATAAAAACGCAAAAAGAAAACCCCACTACTGGTTTGGTCCTAGAAATTACAATTTAAACTGAAAATTAACCATCAAAGTTAAGTATAATATGGAATGTTTGCCTAATCAAAGGTACACCACACATACATGTATGAATAAGGTCCTTTGGATCACTGATGACTGAGGTTAAAACCAAAAATCTTTTAAATAAAACATATGGTTTTAAACTATTTCTTGTACTCTGAAGACCTCTACCTATGCAACTGCTGTAAACCCTGAATGTAAAAATTAAGTTTTAATAATAATAGCATGACTTATTGTTGTCATAACATTGGAAGTTTAGTGATATGGCTTCCCTTAATGAGCCTCTTCCAGCAATGATCCCAGTGGATCTGCCATGTTGTTTTATTAACACCTGTCTTGTGTGTAATGTGTGTGTGCTATTTAACATTTTGCAACCATTATCCTCATGTTTGGCTTATCATGCTTGTCTTTGCATTGTTGTCTCTAACTGTGTGTTGAGCTGTGAATGATATCAAATGTTTGCATCCTGTCGTCTGCGTGCTTTTTTTTTCATGTTAATTGTTGTCCTCATATCCAGTGCAATGAGTGCATCTATATTTTTCTGTGACTTTATTAACGATAACAAAATTAACCTTCACTTTTTGACAGAAATCACACTTCTTGCCATTCATAATTCTAACTTGAATAAGATTTGGTCATTTATATATTTTGAGAATCTGAGATATTTTATGTTATGTTATTGTTCATATATATACCACAAAATGAAAAGAAAAACATTTAGGAATTTGTCAAATGTCCACAATTTTTCAGTTTTTATACGCCTATCACAACATTTTGGTGTACACATGCAAATCTTTCTTACCCAGAATGCATGAAATGAAATTCCTATTCTAAATTTCCCCATAGCAAGAAGAGTGATTTTTCATTTAACTTTTGTCATTTTCATTGTTTTAAACAGAGACTTCTGTCAGATTTTCATTTTCACTTCTAAATAAATTGTAGCTTTAAAATTACTTTATTTTCTAAAAATTGAATGTTGGTTTTAGAAGACAAGTGACATAAAATGGAAGTTTTGCCCTTTTGGCATTATAGAAATTATGGCATGGTCAACAGAAGTTTCTGGTTGGTTCTAATAACATATATTTATCATCCAACATCCTGGAGCTGTTCACACTGCTTTTTCTCTACAAAAATCTTAAGTAAACTGCATGTAATCCTATAACTGATGTTTATTTTATATATGTACAATGACAGTGTGTGGCCACTGAAATTATATCTACTTTTCTATTTTTGAAATAAGAAAGATATAAAGCAATCATTTTTTTTTTTTTTTGTTGTTGCTGAAAGTGTAAATTGTGTGCATTATTTATTTGTTTTGACCGATATGCTGATTTATACAGAAATGATCTAGACAGATTTGAGTGGATAAATGAAAAACTTTCTTAGAAAATTTGCATCTACATGATCTATAGCATAATTTTGAAATTTTCTGTGGAAATTTCTTGCTCATTACTGTTTCTGGCCATACCTGTATAAATTGTGAAAATGGTCAGTTGTAAAGGGTTTAATGTATTAATATTATTATTAGTTATTTACACAATATTTAAAATGTTTGACATCTTTGATTTGTATGATCAAAGAAGATGACAAAATTTCATGATGAAATAAGAATTTGTTGCAAGGGGAGATAATAAAATTTTGTATATTTATCTCCCTTTTCACATAATATCACTATAATCAAAGCATGAACAACAGAATTGCTAATCAATATATTATGATGATTTCCCCCATTATAAGCTATTATTTGTCTATTTTATAGTATTCCTAGAGCATGTTCTCCTTCCAATATGTTATGTGTGAGATATATGCTACTACAAACCTAACTCCATAACTACTCTCTCCACCAACAGGAAAACTGGCAATCCTAGTCAATTAAGATTGTAGTCAAACAAATCTGCCATGAGTGGTGTTTGAACTCACAATGTCAGTGTTGACAGGCTAATGATGGCTGTAGATGAACTACTACAGGGGCAGATCCAGCCATTATTAAAAGTGGGGTTCCAACCAAGTATAAAGGGGGCTTCCAACCATATGTCCCCAATCAAAAGCATTGGACAAAAAAGGGGGAGGAGGTTCCAACCCCTGGAAACCCACCCCCTCCCCCCCTTCTGGATCCGCCACTGTACTAAGACCTCTTAGCCACTGAGGATCCATCCAAAAATAATATCTACCCTTCCTCAAAACTGTACTCATGGGGATGGCATCTCAAATGATTATTAACACAGAAAATGTTGTCCACAATCAAGAGATGCATCGTCTGCTATTTTGCCTGGTAAATTCACATATTAAAGACTATAATACCAGTATACCGTAGTTATCATATTTAAACTTAAACATTAGAAGATAGGCTCCTGAAAGGAAAATGTTAACTCAATTTAATTGTGACATCATTCAGTTATTAAGGGACATCCTTAGGGATGTTTGAAAGATTTTTTTTAGTGAAAACAGGATGAAGTCAGGTACATTTTACCTATCATTATAAATCACATGCATTTCAGTTTCTCAAAATAATTTTGTGCCTCTGAAAATATAAACACAAAATTCACAAGGAATGCTGTGTTCAATATGTTTTAAAAAATCTGTGTTAGTAAATGATAAAGATTTTGTATGAATTTAACATTATAAAACTTATTGTCACTTTCATTCTCTACAAGCTAATTCAAAACTACAAATTGGAGACAGTTTAAAAAACATTTTATTTTAGGTTTAATTTGACCTTTAATTGTACTTGTCTAAGTATCATTGACCATCAGCCTCTGAAGAATTCAGTTGGTCATTGTACATGTTGTACAGGATAAAGCAAGTATCATTTCCATTATTGGATGCATCTTAAAAGACAGAAGGTTGCCATGAAGGTGGAGACAGAAATTATCAGAAGTATTACAGTCCGTGGCCAGATAAGCTGAAATATTGTAGATTTTTTCCATCAAGACCCTCAAAGCTGACATTGTTTTGTCACCTGTTGATTCATTTATTTTTGTGGATACCAATTTTCGTTTATATTTGATTTTGTTGTTTTACACTAGTCAGCATTTAAGCTTATAGAAAATTTGTACTTCGTTTTAACGTTTCATGAAAATTGGTATTCCACTAATAAGAATGAATCCACTGTATATGTAATGTCATTTCAAACCTGTCAGGCCAAACATAAAATTTAAATTGTTTGATGTTTCCTACCTCCCCGAAAAATTTTATGACGCAAATCGTTTCAAATTTTTTTTTCAAAGATTTTTATCTGCTTTAACAACGTTTTCTTGTTTAAAACATATAACTTATGTTGTTGGCAAAAAAAAAAAATCCCTACCTACTTACCTACCTACCCAACCCTTCAAGGCACAGGTAGGCAACATCAAACAAAGAATTTTTAGGGTGGCCTCAGATTACTACTGGCCATGTATGATATTTCTCATCATATCACAACACTTCCATGATAAACCGAATTTAAATAAACAAGACAGAGGACCAAATGTTCCAGTTCCTGAGAGAGTAAAATCTCCTTATGGATGTATAAAAAATATTTTATTTCTACAGCTTCCTCTTCATCATCAACGAAAAAGAGAACTTACGAGTACACCAATTGCGGTAAATTTTGAAGCTACTTTCCCTTAAAATTGGCATGATTTGGTTTTGGAGCTAGTGATAACTGAAAGATTTGAAATTGTTTTACGCTCTCAAAAATTACAGGAAAATTGTAGATGTCATTCATTCATGAAAATGTGGTGTAGATTTTTATTCCAATGCAGTATTTATTTTGATGATAAATTTGTTCAAAACCAAGCTATAGTTGAACAGGATTTTTTTTAATGGGGATGTTTTTGAAAGACTTCCCCCATATTTGAAAAATTAGAATTGAAATTTTATAACTTTTTCTGCTTTTTAGACAGAACATGATATTTGGACAAAGTTGAATTTTTAATGAGAAAGAAGAAAAATCAACTATCAGAACCAATTTTCATTCATATATCACATTTTAGAAATAAGTTTGAAATTTACAATTTTCATGGCATTTTTCTCAATATGTAAAACAGATTTAGCATGCTTTGAAAGTTTCTAGCATTGAGCTAAATCATACATTCTTCATCAAATGTGTGACTATAATAAATGTATCTGGTCTTGAATGAAGCCGTCCTTAGAGAAAGGTGTCTGGGTTTGGATGATTGATTACATCCGTAGAAATGTGGAGTTGGTTTGTTAGACTTGACGATGTTGCATATTTGTGCATTTTGTTCATTGTTTTTGTTTGTAGTTGTGCTTTGTTGATATGCATGAGTTTGAAAAACAGATTACTCTACCTGAAGTATTATTTGAAAATATTCTTCTTCAATATTTTGTTTGATGGCTTTGTATGTCAATTTGTTTGCAAAGAATATATGATATTTTTAAAAACACTGTGAATGAAATCTAGCATGAAAATAAAGTAAAACATTTGTACTGATATAAAAAAAATTAGCTTTGTTTTTTGTATGAATTAAAAGCATATATGTCTTCTTTTAAATTCATTTTTTGCATTTTACGTTATATGAATCAATACTGCATGTATTTGAATATGTTTATGTAGGACTGCATGATTGTCAGATAGCTTAGTGGTATAGTTCAATTCTTTAATGTTACATATGTTTTTATTATCATAGATATATTTCAATTCTATTGCAAGAACAAAATTTAAGAATTTTGGCAAAGCCCTTGATAAAGGATTTCAACAAATCTATGACAGACCACTTGTCTGAAACTGACCACAAAAATAAAAACCCTTCATCCTCCAACAAGGCTTTTAAAAAAAACAGTGACAATTTTTATTAAAGGGAAAAAAACATAAAAAAACGTTTGTTTTTTTTCTCTCTCAAGAATCATTTAATCATTTTTTGTGTGTAAAATTTCATCTGTGCTCTGTATAGTAATGGAAAATTTAAGTTCTGAATTTCTTCATTATCTATATCCATGAAAATTTTTGTTCAATCACTTTAATGTCTAATTTTAGAACTGTGACCAAAAGATACATTATAAGAATTATTTTAAGAAAAGTTAGTGTGAACATAAAGATATTTCAGTCAGAGCAGAATTGATCATCCATGTTAACAAAACTAATAGGCACTTTCTAATTGAACTTTGCCCTTTTCTGTTTATATGTAGCTAGTCATTGTTTTGCATGCAAGCTTTCCTGCTTCATTAATTGTCTTCTTACTTACTTGTCAATTTTTGTAGTGTTTTTTTAATTTACATGAAAATAAAAAATTTCTACCTTGAAAAACTATTCAAAGCAGTTCTGATTGAAGAAAAGAAATTTTTATTTCACTTTTCTGGAACATTATCCATCACAAACAAAAAAAGAAACATTAAAACGCCATTGAAAAAGACTTGTTAGAAAGGAATGATCATTCAATGTTTCACTCACAACATGGTAAGAACTCTTTAATTATGCAAATTGAATGCTGTAAAAGTTCTATGATTACAGGAGTGCAGGATTAATAGGGTACTAGTATACGTTTAAAAAAAAACATTTTGTGAAGTGAGGAATGAAATCTATGGAAACACTTTTCCATAACTTGAAAGTGGATAATAATGATGAGATCTGCATTGAACAAAGGTGGCAGTATATAGTTGTAAAATTGTGATGCAGAATATTTTTACGCTGTTTTTGGTACACATACTATATGCTTTAAGTATCCTTAATAAGCACAATGCCTGTACAACCAGCCTACCTGTATTTCAAAACACATCCAGAATTTTGAGGAAAAAAAATTATGAAAAACGTTTGAATTTTAAAGCACCTTTTTGGGGGATAACCTAGTTTGATTGTGTGAACTTGGTTAGATTGAATATCTTAGTCTTATGCAAGAGAATTAGTACTTTGAAAAGTATAGATTATATTAGTACAGTTGTCAACATTAGTTGCTAGATTTTTAAAATGATTTTATATATATAACTGTGAATACTTGTTATATTGGTTCCAAAATCTTTAACAATTGTAAGGCTTGTAGTGAAATGTAAGAAATAAATTGATTATGTATTATACTATAATTGTTATGGCACATCATTTTGAAGCCTTCAAAAAAATATTTCAAATTCACTAAATTTATTTTTTTCTTTCTTCAGGTTTATGTATTCACAGTTTTGATAGAGTTCTCTCCCTTTACAGTTATAGACACACAATTCCTTCCTTTACAGTATAGTTAGCTTACATAGGATAAGATTTTCAATTAAACCATATGTTATTTAATAGGTCCAGCAATATCATGTTCTTTAAAAATATTTCATTGTTGACAATGGTTGACATAGTTACAGTTTTAGTGTTTGGTATGTTAAATGTGAACTCTGCCTTACAGGATTAGGATGACAGCTGTTAGCGTAAAAAATATATTACAGGATCATTTTTAAACTTATAGAACAATAACACTCCTGAAATAAATACTCCAAAATTTTTAACTTTGACAAATGTTCATTTTATTGCTACTGAAAACAATCATGCTTAACATTTCAAATGTATGTTTTACTATGAACTTTACAAAACTCATGTAACCTCAGATATTATTCAGAAATAGATTTTAAAGTAATTGTAAGTAGTTAAGGAATGAAAGTTATATAGCCTGTTCTTTTCATTTAGATTGAATATATAACTGGTTTGTATAATCAGAGTAATCATACCAAGAATTATTAAACTGTATGCTTACATACGGACCAAAACCACCTGGAATATAGAAATAGGCTTTACAAATTTCTGAGAAACCTACAGATTTGATCAAACTTGCACAGTAATTATAACCCTTACAATACAATGGAAGAGAGATAGTTTTATTTTCACAGGGCCAAAATATTACATGACTACATGTATATGAATTTTTAAGCCTCACCCCTTTATATATATAGGAACAAATTATGTGGATTAATCTATTATTTATAATATATGGAAAAAGTTGTTTTTTTAAACAGAACATTTATTGCACATTTATACATATATTCACCAGTAAAAATGATTTCAGACTAAAATCTTTTCTCCAAACATAAATTTTGATTTTATTCTGGGTTCAGAGTTCATTATATAAGATATTGCTGGATAATTTTTTAGCATGGCTTTATACTAATATGGTGTAATGTTTCTGTCCTTTAATTAACACAGGCCAAACCAGGTCATCGGCCGAGCACTCTCAATTTAACAGCAACAACAACTGCTTTGCAGGTGAGTAGAATTTATACATATATACATATATTAGTATATATATTACACTACATGTACATTATTATTTGCTTTTAGTTTCCATTTATATCTTGATGTTTAGAGTGTTCTTTCAGACACTAATTTACTTTTAAGGAAGTTTTAAAGGCCATTGAAGATTTATTTGAAAATCATGAAAGCTCATCTCACTAGTTAAAAAGAAAGCCTTAGTTGAAACTTTTTAGCTCACTTAACCCGAAGGACCATTTTGGTTTGATTTATTGCCATCACTTTGAGTCTTCAATCTTTTCCCTTTTAGGACATCTGCTCTGAAACTATTTTGTCAGAAGCTCTTTATTGTTACTTCTTGTTATGAAAACTATTTAGTTTTGTATATGCAATTATTTGGCCTTGTAGAAGACTTGGGTCATTTTGAAAATTCCTTATCTTTGACTTCAGGGACGTATCTTGCCAATGTATGGAGGAATTGTGGTTTAGGTTACAAAGATTCAATACTTTGACTTTTCATTACCAAGATCACAACTTAGGAATATCTAGAAGAGACCATGACATTATGTGTATATGAATAACTGTATTATGTATATATTCAATGATGAAGTGAATGTAGTAATTGTATCCAATACTACCATGTAGTGATGAGGTACCGGTATATAGTTTTTTACCAGTCTGTCAGTTATTTTTGTTATCAGGTGCTAACTCAAATACTTTTTATTGGATTGCAACCTTACCACGAATATATGGTCACATATAATGATAAAAAGATTCCTATTGATTTTGAGGTCACTGGTGCAAGGTCAAGGTCAACATTTTAGCAAAAGAAGAGGTTTTTGGAAGCTAACTCAATTTGGTCACATATAATGAGAGGAAGAATCCTAATATGATATTGATTTTGAGGTCACTACCAAGATCACTACTGAAGTCACAGGTTGCTCCTGAGGTCAGAGGTCACTCTTTCTAAATTCAAAGTCATAGCTATTAAAGATAGACTGAAATGTATGCAGAAAAGTAGTTTCCAGATGCTTTATCAAATATTTGTTATCAGATTTCAACCTTACTAGGATAAATTGTTGAGGAAGACCCCTATTGATAATGAGGTCACTACATTTAAGGTCAAGATCATAGTTACTGAAAATAACCAATATTTGTGCAGGAAAGTGTTTCCGGATACCAAATTAAATAATTTATTTGAGATTGCAACCTTTCATGGATATCTGGTCACAAATAGAATAGAATATAACATGTATATTGTAAAATGAGAGAATGATCACATACAGGATAATCTTGCGCTCTCAGCAGATGTCTATTTCAAATTATATCAATTTTATTTGAACGATGATTGTGAGACTGCTTCAAAAGTTGTTGGTTTTGTGCCTCATTGATGGCATGCATGTTTGCAGTGGTGGTATATGTATACAGTTTCTGAATGAACCCTTTTGGCAATGTTTTTTCCATTTCTAAAACTGCATGGCCAGTTTCTGAACCAATTTTGACTTAAATGATGTTTTTTCTTATGGTTTGATGAAAAATTTGGCAGCCAGATGACAAGTCCTTAACATGCTAAAAGCTTAGAGTTAAAAGAAAAACATTTGTTGATCACCCTAGCTACCAAACATGGATTTTCTTGCTAAAACAAAACATAGGGATAAAACACAAATAATATATTAGACATATACTGTATACATTTCAAAATCATTTCTTTGTTTTCTGACAAAATATGGCCAGAATTATTCTGTTACTTAATTTGTCCTATAATAATTTAAGTTTTGGGTACATTTATACATACTTTTTACTAAGCTTTTAGTTTTATTGTATGTTTCTGTCATAAGTTTCTGCAAACTTGCATTATATCCAGCTAGTCGTTTTGTGGGAGTTGATACAAACGGATTTTTAGCTTTCAGTAGGGGATTGGCTTTGATCCCTTGATTAAAGAGAAGGATGGTTTAGTCAAAGTTTTGATCTCTATTCTGATGGATCCCTAGAGAAAGGAACAAATGATCCTAAGCCTATTCTATTGAATAATCAAACATGCATTAACTGTGTAAATGTTTTGGTACATAGCCACGGTATGAATTTGATTTGCTTGATTCAAGTTAGTGCAGCAGACAGCAAAGAACTCTATATTTTCACTGAAAGGAAGGCAAGTTGTTGTGAAATTTGTCAAACTGTTTCTATACTGTTAATATTTGTAAAACCATTTAGTTTGAGATTTCCTTGCATTATGACCTTTGGTGTATAAATGAAAATTGCCCTTAATAGATCCCTCCTACTTCATTAAAATCTAGTCCGAAATAAATTGAGTTTTTGTGAGAGTTACTTAAAATTGAAAATATATATTTGTTAAATAATTGTTTCTTTTGCCATTACTACCACCGAGATAAGAAATTGCATTTTCGAAATGGTTTGTTACAGATTAAACTATTATTTTAAGACATTTTCAGATGTGTCTCTTGATATGATGAACACAATTGCTAATTAGGGCATAAATAGAAAGATAGAATTTGAAATTGAAGTAAAAAAAATTACAAAATGTGTGATAAAGGAAATATGCATACAGTAGCTGAAGATAGAAATGGGTTACATTGGGATGTATTTTTGGTTAGAGTTGACATTTTCTAATCTTGGAGATAAGGTTCTTAGTTCATGACAGTTAAAAGATAACATACTATGCTCAGTGATGTTTTTATTTGGTCTTCAAATTATAGTGGATTTATTTATGGTCTAATATTGAAGTGTGTGACTATGATGTTGCACATATAACTTGCAGAGTTGTTGTTTGAAATCATGGAATTCCAATGATGCGTGAATTGCAGTTTAATAAAGTAGTTATGTCTGAAGAGAAAAAAGTGTTTTTATATTCATTTTCATTAATATTTGATTAATTTGTTGTTTTATTTCAATTTTAAGAAAGCATTAAAGGAGAAAGAAGAACATATAGAACAGCTGCTGAAGGAGAGAGATTTAGAGAGGTCAGAGGTCGCTAGGGCTGCAGCACAATGTGATGAGGTAGTATAATTGAATATTACGAATAAAAGGTTATAGGTCAATGAGACAGCAATCCAATGACACATAACACAAATGACATCTGGAGGTCAACAATCTTAAACAAAAGGCCAAAATCATCTGGAGTCTAAAAAGTTGTAAATAATAAAAACATTGAATATCAAGAATCTGTCATCAACAGTATATTCTCCAAATAACAAAAAAAATCCATTAAGATATGACATAAAATAATATTATTTGATTTGCTTAAAAATGATTTGAGTACTTAGTAAAAACAGTGTAAAATTATATTAGAAGGAAATTATCAAAATGAGATGGGGGCCTCGGTGGCCGAGTGGTCTAAGTAGTTACTACTGTAATCACTAGCCAGTCAACACTGAGGTTGTGAGTTCGAACCCCGCTTGTGCAGGTGCACTTGACTCCAATCTTAATTGACTAGGATTTTGTCAGTTTTCCTATCGAAGGTCAGTGGTTTTCTCCGGGCACTCCTGCTTCCTCCACCAATAAAAACTGGCCGCCACGAAATAGACCAAAAGCGGTGCTTAAAAGTGGCGTTAAAACACCAAAAATCAAAAAATCAAAATCAAAATGAGATGAAACAACTAGGGTAAAGGTTAAGAAATTTAAACTGCTGATGTAGATGATTGTTAGTTATTACAGGTCTGTTGGTTGCCCCTATCGAACATACCCTCATTTTGCATTGGCAATTTTACCTGTTACCCTTGTTGAGCCACTTAGCAAAGCCTACCTTTTAGTTTATTGTTAATTTGTCTTATGAAATCAGCATGATTTGCCACTGGATGTTAATGGAATAACAAACATTGAAAAGTCAAACATTAAATTTAGGTAAAACTTGAGTTCTAGTCGAAACAGACAATTTTTTGGATACAATGAAACACTTTACACTTGAATTATCACCAGAATCACCCTCGAATAGAAAATAAAAGTAAGGTATAGAAGTTTTACTGGTATGCTTGAGATTACCAGCAGAAAAAGAAATCGTCATCTTTAACATACATTGACCTGACATTTACCGTTTAATTGTGTGTGGAAGGCAAGATTTTTACATCTCAAATTATGAGACCAGGAAGAAAAATTATTGCATTATATCACATATGCAGTCATTGTAATATTTGTGTAATTTTGTAGGCTGAAGGTCAGATGTCAATGATGAGGAGTGAACAAGAGCGATACAAACAGGATGTTGACGATACGGTTCTCAAACTTAGGTCCCTTGTAGCTGATATGCAGCAAGAAAAAGTAGAACTTGTTAACCAATTAGATACAGAAAAAAGGTAGATTGAAAAATTCTCTTGGGCCAGTAAAATATTCTGTCAAGAAGTGATTTTTAGCCAAAGAGGAATTACATTTCGTGAATACTTGTGGCTGATGATTTTGGTGTTGCAATTAAGTTTACATCTCAATTTAATATTAAAAAATGATGATTTTGTCTTAGAAAGCAAGAGGACTAAAGAGTTTTCCTGCAAAGATGTAAATTTAATACTATTAGTTACAGTTGTGATTTTTTATCAAATTTTTAGTCCCTTTCTTGCTGATTATGACTCTTTTTTTATTTGCACATAATTTGTTACAGTCTGTACTGCTTAAAGGTGAAAACTCAATTCATACATTTTAGCAAGGTTTTCTAAAACTTGTACATCCTGTTGAAATCCCGACTATACAATAATTATATTTTATTTCAGAAAAGTAGAAGATTTACAGTTCCAGATAGAAGAGGAAGCCATGACCAAGGATGATATGGAGGTTGGTACTGACAGGTTTTAAATGGGTCCTTAATTGTTCAACACAGGGAGGGTTCATATCATCTATGTCTTAAATTCACTAGCTTATCTGTCTATAATATTGAGAACCAAATCATATTAAAGTGCTAACAGTATGAATTCTCTTTTCACCAGATTTACTTGCTCTGACTTGAAGGACCTATGATTTAATGTAGTATTTTTCAGGAACCCATTACTTCATTCTTGATTTACTGCTGCTTAATAGTCAGAAGAAAAACCTGTATTGTATATTTGTTTTCATTTGTAATTTATAATCAACTTAAAAACTTACGGTTTCTCAAAAAATTAAAGTAGCATGAACAAGTCTTTTTATAAGATCATTACAGTTTTTAATTGTTACATTATACAAATTATTCTTCTATTTCACCAGAAACAAAATTTCCCACAGTTCGTGCAGCAAAACTGTTAATAAAGCTTTGTATATATCGTGATGTCTAGCAAGAATTTGACAGTTTGAAAAAAAATTTATTCCAGCTTTCAAGTCCTCAACAAATGACCAAAATCTCTTGAAAAATTTCTGGTCCATTGAGTATAGACATTAAGTGTTCAACAGGATTAAATTTATATAGATTCCTTTTTTTTAGTTGGCTCTTTACATTAAAATTAGAATTTTTATACAATTATATTATATGTGAACTGATAGATGCTTGGTATTATGTATGTTGAAGATGTAAGGAATAATGTAAGATACTTTTCAGTCGAGAACAGAAGAAGAAGAAATGAAATTCAGAGAGATAGAAAGATTACAACAGAGAGAAAAAGAACGAGCTGATAAACTAGAACAAGAATTATATGCCATGAAGGTATTTTATCAAAATTTATAATGAGGAAAAAACAAGCAATGTGAATGTATTATTGTTCATGGGCTCAACCACAAAATTAAGTCCTGAGCGAAAAACATATTTTCCATTGAGTCCAAATGATTTTAATGTAATTTCAGGAATTTTAAAACCTCACAAACTGTTCAAATCCACAAAAAATGAAAGAAAAGTACCCCATCAGTAATACATATATAAACGATCTTTATTCTAAAACAACTCTTTGATTAGTCATAAATGGCCTGTTGCAAAGCATATGTTTTGGATCCTTTCCAGCATACCATCATTTTCCAGGGGCAGTTGAAATGCTGCCCTTAATCCAACTGGACCACTTTCAGTCAAAGTTGATATTGATGATTTTCACTTTAGCTGGTCAGGATTGATCCTGAGTTATAACCCTTGATTGATTGAAAATTGCACCTCATGTTGCTTTCATGCAATAACTTTAGAATGGTTGAACCTAACGTTTTCAAATTTTAATGTTTTTTCTATCGACAAAATCGAGTTCATGTTCAATATTGAATATTTTCAGGAGTTATGGCCCTTGATTGCTTTAACAATAATACTATAAGATTTTACCCAAACCCTGCTGTCATATTTACAATCTCTTGTTATTGTTACTACAGTGTAGATAATTCACAAATAATGTGACATCATGGTGTGTTGGTTTATTTCAGGCAATGGCTAAAGACAATACAGAGAAGCTGGAATCAACAGAAGAATTGAACATAACCTATCTTGATCAGATAGAGGAAATCACTCATAAACTGTCACAGGCAGAAACTAAAATTAAAGGTTATGAGTCAAATCGGCTTGAGGAAGGTGCTAAGGTAATAATCATTAGGTTATTTCAAGAAATTATTTTTAACCTGTCATAAGCCATTTTATTTTAGATATAGATGATTAAAAAATCTTAGGATCTGCCCACCCTTCCGGAGCACCTGAGATCACCCCCAGTTTTTTGGTGGTGTTCGTGTTGCTTAGTCTAGTTTTTGTCGAGCCTGCGACTTTTGTCGCAGAAAGCTCGACATAGGGATAGCGATCCGGCGGCGGCGGCGGCGGCGTTAGCTAACTTCTTAAAAGCTTTATATTTTAGAAGGTGGAAGGTCTGGATGCTTCATACTTTGTATATGGATGCCTCATGTTACGAAGTTTCCGTCAGTCACATGTCCAATGTCCTTGACCTCATTTTCATGGTTCAGTGACTACTTGAAAAAAAAGTTAAGATTTTTTGTAATGTTAGATTCTCTCTTATTATAAGTAATAAGATAACTATATTTGGTATGTGCGTACCTTGCAAGGTCCCCATGCCCGTCAGACAGTTTTCACTTGACCTCGACCTCATTTCATGGATCAGTGAACAAGGTTAAGTTTTGGTGGTCAAGTCCATATCTCAGATACTATAAGCAATAGGTCTAGTATATTCGGTGTATGGAAGGACTGTAAGGTGTACATGTCCAACTGGCAGGTGTCATCTGACCTTGACCTCATTTTCATGGTTCAGTGGTTATAGTTAAGTTTTTGTGTTTTGGTCTGTTTTTCTTATACTGTATGCCATAGGTCTACTATATTTGGTGTATGGAATGATTGTAAGGTGTACATGTCTAGCGGGCAGGTGTCATTTGACCTTGACCTCATTTTCATGGTTCAGTGGTCAAAATTAAGTTTTTGAGTTTTGGTCTTTTTTTCTAATACTATGTGCAATAGTTCAACTATATTTGGTATGTGCGTACCTTGCAAGGTCCTCATGCCCGTCAGACAGTTTTCACTTGACCTCGACCTCATTTCATGGATCAATGAACAAGGTTAAGTTTTGGTGGTCAAGTCCATATCTCAGATACTATGAGCAATAGGTCTAGTATATTCGGTGTATGGAAGGACTGTAAGGTGTACATGTCCAACTGGCAGGTGTCATCTGACCTTGGCCTCATTTTCATGGTTCAGTGGTTATAGTTAAGTTTTTGTGTTTTGGTCTGTATTTCTTATACTGTATGCCATAGTTCTACTATATTTGGTGTATGGAATGATTGTAAGGTGTACATGTCTAGCGGGCAGGTGTCATCTGACCTTGACCTCATTTTCATGGTTCAGTGGTCAAAGTTAAGTTTTTTGAGTTTTGGTCTTTTTTCTAATACTATATGCAATAGTTCAACTATATTTGGTGTATGGAAATATTTTATGATCTATTTGGCAGTCACACAGGTTTTATTTAACCTTGACCTCATTTTCAAGGTTCATTGCTCAGTGTTAAGTTTTTGTGTTTTGGTCTGTTTTTCTTAAACTATAAGCAATAGGTCAACTATATTTGTTGTATGGAAGAATTGTTAGCTGTACATGCCTGCCTAGCATGGTTCATCTGACCTTGACCTCATTTTCATGGTTCATTGGTCAATGTTAAGGTTACTTGGTTAATGTTAAGTTTATGTGACAGTTGTAATAAAGCTTTATATTTAGGACTATCAACATAATATCAATGATTAGTAAAGAAGGCGAGACATTTCAGCGTGTGCACTCTTGTTTATGTTGAGTTTTGTGTACTGTTTGTCTTTTTATTTTGTAGCCATGGTGTTGTCAGTTTTATTTTCGATTTATGAGTTTGAATGTCCCTCTGGTATCTTTTGCCCCTCTTTTAAAAGGATGGTGAAATGAGAAATATAACTCAAACGGAGATAGGCAAGTCAAGTGAACCAACACTTTTTAGTGGTACAAGCTGTATAGTAATCTGGATAAATACTAAAGTATGCTGTGGCTCTCTTAAAACCTCATAAATCCAAACTATAAAAAGACAACAACATCCTGGTTACTGCAAGAAATTTCTTTTACTGTGGTCTACATAATTTGCAACTTAGAGTGATGTCTTAAAGATAGGAAACAAACACTGAAGTACATTGAAGGGAGATAGTTTAAATTGAAGTTACAGATAAGAATTCACTAAATGTTATGAGATTGGTCATGTTCTTGAAGCTGAATAATGCTGACCTTTGGTTAACTAGAAGTTATGAAAGCATTCATGAATGTACATTCAAGAACTTTAAAGTTTCATAACCCCATATTATGGCTGATTGTTATAGGTGTAATACCACAAAAACATTATACGTCATATGCCGTTTCATGTTAACATCCGATCAAAAAATAATCTCCTTGAATTTTACAGTTGTAGGAAATTAACCCTGCATTTTATTGTAGAAATATTTTTCTTCTTCATAAACACTATCTCAGTTGTTATATAAAAATAAGAAGATGTGGTATGATTACTAATTAGACAACTATCCACCAGAGTTAAAATGAAATTGATGTAAGCAATTATAGGCAACCGTACCGACTTCAACAATGAGAAAAACCCATAATGTATAGTCGGCTGTAAAAGGCCCCCGACATAAAAAAATATGAAACAATTCAATTGAGAAAACTAACGGCCTTATTTATAACAAGACAGTTTACAAAAAAAAACAAATATGACAGACATGAACCAACAACAGCCACTGAACTACAGGCTCCTGACTTAGGACAGACACATAAAGAATGTGGCGGGGTTGAACATATTTGAAGGCACTAACCCTCCCCTAACCTGGGACAACAGAACAAAAGAACAACACAAGAAAAAACTAGACAAAACAATAAATGAAAAATTGTTTATTTGGTGTCCCTATAAAGTGTTTTTGAAACATTCGTTGACCTAGTTACTAATTCTTGTAAACATGAAAAAGAAAGTTGAGAAATTGCCTTGTTTACTTCAAAGGAAGTTTACTTTCTTATATCCAATGAAAAAAATGTGTGAAATTTTCACTGTAGTACTGGACAGGATAAAAACTTTATTCATGCCAAGTTTTTCCTTTTTTGAAAAAAAGGTAAATCTGAACAATTTTTTGAAAAATGACAATTTAACAAAAAGTAATTGGAGAAAAGTAATGGTGATATTACCCCTTATATCCAGCAATATCATAAATGTTGTATATGAGAGTTATATGTTAAATTTATGTCTACACGTTGACCTTTTACCATTGTAGTCTTATTAGATATGGTTTTCCACTATTTATCAAAAACAGCTGATTTTTACTAAAATCATGAAGATACATGTACTTATACTTTCATCCTGATCTTATACCATTTAACATGGTCTTTTGTGATTTTGATGCCTTAATTACAAGATTTTTTTTAACAGACGAGCCAAGTTAGTCTAGAATTGGAAGAGAAAGAACATAAGATATCAGAACTAGAAGAAATTCTTACAACGAAGAACAAAGAAGTAAAACAGTTATCTAATAATCTGCAAGAAGTGGTAAGTGTGTAGCATTGTTTTGGACCGCGATGTGGAATAAGATTTTTGATTTTATGGGGTGCCATTAAGTTAACCTAAAATTGTAGTACTGCTGAACTACTTTAAAATTATTGTACTATTTTTGTACCATTATTGTGCAGTTCTAGATATGTACTAAAAGTTTGAAGTAACAATTTTGTATTTCAATTTTTCAGTAATATTATGATACAATAAATGTATAGTACTTCTTTAGTACAATCTGATAGCAAAGTTTACTCAAAGTGCAATAATGTTAAAAGTTCTGAACTGGTGCAAAATATGTACTGGTATTTACGACTTGTTGTATAAATCTAGTACTAAGAAACTCATCAGCCGCATCACACCTTTTTAAATAATCCTCTTTGAAAACTACTTGGCAGAACTCAACCAAACTTGCACAGAATATTCTACAAGACATGAATTTGTGTTCTTGCTATGTTAGATTTTGATCTGAGTGATTTTTGGGGTTGCCCTTATTAAAACATGGACTTTCTGCATATTTTTTTTGGAGATGGCACACACAATTTGTTATAAAAATGGTACAATATAATTTTGAAGTACTAAAACAGAACTGTATTATTAATTTGCATCATCTTTACTTCAAAGTCATGATATTAAAAATGTACATATGTAAAAGGTAGCAGTGCACTTTCATAGACTAGGTTTGCTGTCTTCTTGATTTGTTCCATAAAGTTTATAAGTAATTATTTAGTTGACTTGAAATTTTGCACTAACTGATAAGTAGCTTGTACATGCATTCTTTTACTGTTGCACAAATTTCTATATCAATTACTTAATACAATTTGACCTTTTTACCTTAATGAAGCTTATTTCTATTTGAATAGTATGTTAAAGTTTGCTTGTTTAAATTATCATGAAAATTTAAGATTATTCTATGCTTCACTTCAAGAAATAATAGTTTTAGACCATATCAATGTGATTGAAATACAGACACTCTGTCTACTCTTTCCTTACAAGGATCTAAAAAAGCTTGTTCTACTTTCTGTTTTAGAGACCTTTGGGAATCCTCTGGTTTTGTCATAATGATACACACCCTCAAAAATTTGAAGGCTGTATTTTCATTGACTTAATAATTACCAGAACAGAAAGTAGAACAGAGTGTTGTATTTTAATCAGATTGAGAACATATAACAACAAAATATACTTTTATAGAGAGGAATATTCTATTCCATGTTGATTAGAAGCTGTCATATCATAGTTTGAAAGCTTATTTCTCAAACGTTTTGAACACCCTTTCTAACTACTAACATTGTGTCTTTATTCTCAGAGATTTGGACTGATTCAGCTGGAAGCTTTACTCTGTAATGACATGTTGCATTAAAACAAACATTTTGAAGGTAAGGGGCAAAAATGCACACAAATCAGCCCCAAACCTGCTATTAGCAATAAATCTTCCATCCTCACAGCACAAGGTTCAAAATTTAGGATGTCTTTAAACTTGGGGATTGGGTGGTAAATGGGCTATGTATAAAAGGGAAAGTCATACCAGAAGCATTGAGACATCAGATATCCTTTAGATTAAAAAAAAAATGACAAAGTACTAATTAACTCAACTGAATTTAGCAGTCGATTTAGCTGCATCAGGCAACATATTTCTTCCTTGAAAGGACATGTCTGAATTATATTACTGATTTGATAGAGTCTTCGTTTTGAATAAAATGTTATTGGGGATGAACAGTTTAATACACATTACCACTAACACTTGAGTGCTTATGCTTTCAAAAGTCAATTGGTTTAATATGCAAGAGATTTTTGTCAGTTGAGAAGTAATTTTATGATTGTACAATAATTTTTCTTATATGACTTTCCATCAGTTATGCTGGGGTTAAAACAATTATGTATTCAAAGGTCATGAACTTTGCTTTTTAAGTAATTATCAATTCTATTCAAATCAAAAGTCAATAGAACATCATCATGTGCAGCATAAAATAATTGGTTTGTTTGTATTCACACTCCAACTGTGAAAATGGTTGGACTTTGAATATAAAATTATGAGAGGCCCTTAGACAACATTTGATGGTCCTTGACCATGGACCTACACTTTTGTTAACACCTGCTTTTGACACAGAGGCTGACGTTTTCTAAACTAACACACTTTATACATTAATGAGACATATAGTCATATTTAGTGGAAAACAGATTGGTTATTATCACGAAGTTAACATTTAATAACTGTAATTATAACTGAGAAAAAATATACATACGATACTGTAAATGCGGAAATTTGTGTATCTAAGAAATCAAAACCCTGAATGAAATTTTAACGTACAAAGAATTTGACTTTCACATACAGGAGACCACAAAAATTAATCCCCTGGAAACCTTATTTAGAGACAAAACAACAAGATGTTAACCCACAAAAATTAATGTTTCTATAATATCAAAGCCATACTATTAAGCTGAGTTTTAGTTTATTTTCATTGTCATGCTTGAATGTGCTTTAAGAAATTTGATAAATATTTAAAATAAAAACATCTAAAATATATCTTTTCTGCTTTTTTAAAAACTTGAATTTGAATTTTGCTGCTGCTCAAGAAATTTAAAGAAAATTTTCAGCCTTTGTTCAGAAACTTTCATATAGATAGAATAGAGCATTTAATACTAATTTTATTTAACTTCAATACTTATTTTCGCATGTTCTTTAGATTTTTTTGGGTTCCTTTAGATTTTGCTGATAGAAGGGTAAAGGGAAATACATAGGCTTCCAGCTGAATATCAAACTCTCTAAATACTAATATTCATCTCTCTAAAACTGCATGATTTTTATTAACATGTAGCCTTATATTTTTATTTATTTACTTTGCAGTCTATAAAACTGCATTTGCAGTGGAATTCTAAACGTTATATCCAAGAAAATATTAATTTATTTAAAATATAACTAAATATAAATTTTTAAAGTGTTGCTATATATTGTGTAATGGCTTATATTGTGATATATACAACACAGAAAAAATCTCTACAATTTGAAAGTAGACATAGAAATTTATGAAGTTCTGTTGATATTGTATAAATTTTTTTATAAATACTGAAAAGGAAAAAAAAAAAACTATTTAATAAATAATATCAAATGAAGAAAAGAAAAAAAAAATGTTTTTTTGCAATTTTAATACTACTGTTTGAATTCCACATGGTCAAGCTTAAAAAAAACTGATAAAAATATTTCAGTTATGGAGAACTTCATGATATGTAATGATGAGTTATTGATATGCATGTAGTATTTCAATTCTTATTTGTAAACAGGAAGAAGATTTATTTGCGTCCAGGGAGAAGAACAACCATATGAAGAATCAAGTAGATAGTAAGTATGACACATATTATTGCTTACCCTTCCGGAGTACCTGAGATCACCCTCATTTTCTAGTGGGGTTCTTGTTGTTCAGTCTTTAGTTTTCTATGTTGTTTTTTTGTAGACTGGTTTGTCTTTTGGTCATTTTTCGCTTTTTGCCATGGAATTGTCAGTTTGTTTACAACATGTGAGTTTAATTATCTCATTGGTATCTTTTGCCTCTGTTTGATTGAATCCAGGGCCACCCTTAAAAAAATCTTTTTTTGATTTTGCCTTCCCATGCGATGTAGGGTTGGATAGGTAGGTAGGGATTTTACTTTTTTTTTGGCCAACAACATAAGTTTCATGTATGTTTTAGACGAGAAAACAACGTTAGAGCAGGAAAAAATCTTTAAAAAAAAAAATTTGAACTGATTTGTGTCATAAAGTTTTTCAGGTAGGCTGCTTTTTAGTTGGGTTGGTAGGCAACATCAAACAATCTAAATTTTATTTTTGGGCCAGTACAGAGTTGGTGGTGTTAGAATATATCTGCTTCATGCACAAGGCTTTTGTATACATTTGTTCAAAATGGCACCTTCAATCTATACACAAAAAGTTTCATTTTCCTTTCACTTGGTTGCCCTGTGTATACAGGTTTGACTGGATTTACAAAAGAAATTTCTGATTAAAAGGAGAAGTGGGTTATATGTCAGTAAAACAGGGGCCTTGGTGGACGAGTGTCTAAGTAGTTCGTCTTCTGTTTCACTAGCCTGTCAACACTGAGGTGGTGAGTTCCAAACGTAGCATGTGGCAGGTGCGTTCGACTCCAATCTTATTTGACTTTTATTGTCAGTTTTCCTGTCGAAGATCTTGGTTCTATCCTGGCACTCCAGCTTCCTCCACCATTAAAAATTGACCACCACCATATAATTAATAGTGTTGAAAGTGGCATTGAACATCAACATTCTAATCAATCAATGAAATAGCCCAACAATAAAAAAAAGACAAATAAATGAAACCTAGAAGTCCATACTCGGTCTTCTATAATTGACAAGTCACTATACTATTTATCAGTGTTTATTTAAATTGGCCCCTTGCTGTGGAAAGTTGTAAATAAATTAAACAAGGGCTATCAAAGATCTATCAATACTAAATTCCTTAATATAGCAAAAGACTTATGTATCTGCTGATCTTATGTTTAGTCCCCTACCGACGAGGTCGGAGGGGGCTTTAGGTATGCACTCTGTCTGTCTGTCTGTCTGTCCATCCTTCAGTCCGGCAAATCAGTTTTCCACTTTTTTTCTTCGTGCTTGAAGATATTGATTTGAAATTTGGTATATACTTTTATCATGACAAGTTACAGATAAAGTTCGAATTAAGTTCTTGTCTCATAATTTTGTGCAGAGTTATGGTCTTTGGACTTAGAAAATTCACTCAAATAATCAGTTTTCCGCACTGTTTTTTTGTCATGCTTGAAGATATTAATTTGATAATTGTTCTATAGTTTTATCATGACAAGTTACAGATCAAGTTCGAATTTTGCTCCGGTCTGATGGTTTTGTGCAGAGTTATGGTCCTTGGACTAAGAAAATTCACTCAAGTAATCAGTTTTCCACACTTTTTTTCGTCATGCTTGAAGATATTGAATTGATATTTGTTATATAGTTAACACCATGACAAGTTATAGATCAAGTTAGCATTTTGTTCCAGTACAAAGAATTTTTAACTGGTAGGGGACTATGTATTGCCATGCAATACTCTCAGAATGCTTGTTTTTGGAGAAAGTTTGATTGTTCCCAGGGTACAAATTTGCTGAGGGTTTAATGTTTTAAACCTGTTGTCAGTCCTTCCTTTTCATGTTTCCAGGACAGGGCCTTTATATTTTATTGGATCCTCTTTCAATAGGTTAGGTTTTCAACCCATTTAAACCTCAGACTTGTTCAATGATCAAAAACATTTCTTGTCCTGAATTTCGTAAAGTTTAAAAAAAAAAAAAAACTACTTCCCACAAATAGAAAATGATCATATAAGCAATAATACATGTAGCTGAAATACCTAAGAAACCACCTTCAGATGTCTTATAGTGATTACATGTAGCTGAAGTACCTAAGAAACCACCTTCAGATGTCTTATAGTGATTACATGTAGCTGAAGTACCTAAGAAACCACCTTCAGATGTCTTATAGTGATTACATGTAGCTGAAGTATCTAGGAAACCACCTTCAGATGTCTTATAGTAATTACATGTAGCTGAAGTACCTAGGAAACCACCTTCAGATGTCTTATAGTGATTACATGTAGCTGAAGTACCTAGGAAACCACCTTCAGATGTCTTATAGTGATTTTTTGATTGAGTTTCTCTCATTGACATATACCCCAGTATCTCCTTTTATTCATGTTTGATCCTTGGTGATGTGTTTTTTGTATGCCCCCTGCCGTAGCGGAGGGGGCATTAAGTTTTATTTTTTATTACTTTTCTGAAGGTATATAATGTCAGATAAGTACATGTACATTGTTCACTAGAGTACAGTTAACATACTTGATAATTGTGTTCAGAATCTACTATTAGCCATGAGAGATTAAAACATTGATTTTCCTTAAATTATTTCAGAACTTACTTCTCAAATGGACAATCAAAGTAAAGCTTCTGAAACCTTCAATTTAGAACTACAGCAACTAAAATCTCAAATATCAGGTAAGTTACACACAAGTACAGCAACTCAAATCTCAAATATCTGGTTAGTTAACCACAAGAACAGCCACTAAAATCCTTAATATCAGGTAAGTTACATAAAAGTACAGCAACTCAAATCTCAAATATCAGGTAAGTTACATACAAGTACAGCAACTTAAATATCTGGTAAGTTACATACAAGTACAGCAACTTAAATCTCAAATATCAGGTAAGTTACACAGAAGTAAAGCAAGTCAAATCTCAATTAATATTTACTTATAACTCATTTAGATCATTTAAAGATAAACACAAATCGTTAAATGAGCATATTTACTAAAAACATAAAACTAAAACACATCAAATCTCAAATGTCAGTTATTCTGCAAAACATAAAACCACAGCAGGTAACATCTCAAATGTCGGTTATTTTACAAAAAACATAAAACAACAGCAGGTCAAATATCAATTATCAGTTATGGTAGGGTTACAACTGTTTGATAGAAATTTTGATGTTAATAAAATAGATTTCTGTGGACATGACATGATTAAGGAATATCTTTCATCAGGTATGCTCTAGTGTAAAACTTGGAAAATCAAAAACAAAAAATTTCTAAAGGGATAAAAATTGAAAGGGTCTACATAAAACAGCTCAAACTGGCTACTGTCAGCTTTGCCTGAAGGAGGTGAAACTTTAATTGACTAGTTAATATATTTTGGTATTTTCTATTTTAAGATCTGCAGAGGAAGCTGGCCTCCAGTGAAGATAAGGCCAAGAGACTTAATGATGAGAAAATACAGCTGGTAAGTATTACCATGGTGATATGTTATTATTTTATAATCCTGGAATAATAATTATTGTGATTGGACAGCTATTTCTGTCTAGGATAGCCGTTGATGTTTGAAAGTTAGAATTTTTTCCCCCTAAAAAAATGTCAAATATTTATGACCATCAGTGATCTGAAATTAATTTATACTGAATAGTAACATATTTTATATAAGAACATTTTCTGTATCTTTAATTTACTTTTTTCCAAGTTCAGTTTGTACAAACACAATGCTGCATAGATTTTGGCTTAAGGTGTGACATTGTGTAGCAATAATTTACCTAAATTTAATTTAAAAAAGAAAAAAAAAATTTCACATTTTCTGTCAATGAAAAAAGTGAATTTTGGTACAAATACACACAGATTTATAATAATGACTTGTATTTATAAATGTAGTCTAGAAACTCCAAGTTCGTTTTTTTCCTTCAAAGATTTATTTAAACCTCCCTCAGCTTTGATGCTACTTTCCAATTACATGTTGTGCTTTTGATATTGTTGGCTGGTTTATATGTGTGTACACCCTTATATTTATACACATTAAGTTTTAATGTTTATTCAGTTTCAGTGTGGTATTATTTATCAGTCATTTGTTTTCACACTTACATGTATTTTTTCAATATATCCAGTTATTTATTGACAGTATAAAATTTATAATGTGTATACAGTAGATTCATGATTGCTTGTAGGATACTTAAATGTAAATCAGTGTGGGTCCGAGGTCCAGGATTGGTCTTTTCAGTTAGGATGGGACTTTTTATTTTTTAATTTAAAAGGTCATAGAATACTAAACACTGTTGCTTTATAAAGGATCTTTTTCTTTCTTTAGGAAGACCTTTCACTTTCAAATTTTAATGATTCTGGACCTTTTGTAACTAAAGACAAATTTGAACATAAAATTGAGAATGGAAATGGGGAATATTTTAAAGAGACAACAACCCGACCAAAGAGCAGATAACAACCCATGTTTTGGATTGCAGGGGGTAGAGGTGAACTTATGTTTTTAATCAAATTCTAATTTCCTATAGCCCTGGTACCCATAAAAATGAATGAATCTACAGTAGTATGTAATTGAAACATGTAACCATGGCCCCATTGTAAGCTTTCAATATTGTTGGCTGTTACATGTCCATATATTATATATTGATTTTTTTCTGTTCTGTTTTGGAATTTCACATCCTGATTAGTTTGTTTTTTGGCTAAGAAACAGACCAGATCGCTTTAAGTGTAAAAGAATATCCAAGTTCCTCGTAATGATTATCATCCTTTGTGAATATGTAGAAAAAAGAAATGCTTTTCTTAAAGAAAAAATTATGAGATTAGATTGCTGTTGAAATTTATAGGCTACCCTGATCCATATTGTGCAAGATAGAATTCAGCGCAGTCTATTAATAAATTAAGCATAAAATCTATTCCATTTTTATTTTACTTTTTTAAAATAATTTTCAGTTATAAGTAACTTTTAAAAAATTGAAAGTTACAAAAATTAGCAGTTTCCATGTTAAAATTTAAACCCAAAAAGTAAAAGCTTACCGACAAAATTTGTCTGATGTGAAATCAGTTTAAATACACAGTAATATTCAGATTTTCATTTTTAGGGGAGAGTGTAGTATGATATTATTGAATATGTTTTTAGGAACAGCAAATGAGTGATATGATGAGAAATTCTGGTGATAGTTCCAAACGTCTGTCAATTTTAACTGAGCAGCTACAGGACAGAAATAGGTTTGTCTTACCTCCCTTTGTTTGTATTGGTCAATTCCTGTTATAAATGAATTCTGGGTAATTTATTTAAAAAAAGCTGTAAAGGGCTTTCATCCACAAAAAATATTTCAACATTTGTGTTATATTTGTCAATATTTGTCAATTGTCACCAAATATCAATGTTGTACTTACTCAGAATTTTAGAACTTACAAAATGGCAACAGCCATTATGTCAGTTATACCACATGCTATTTCAAGTGAATGCTCATTGGCATTTTATTTCTAATTTTTTATATACTAAAAAACTAATGCTTGATTAAAAATATATAATGCAATGAAAAGAAGAAAATAAAAACACAAGAAAAATAATTGTGTATTGTTTCATGTAAAAAGGTATATTTTAGATTGAAAATTTTAAAGGTTTCAGGATGTTCATAGTTGATGAAAACACAAACATTATGAATTACCCAGAATTCATCAGCTACAAACTGGATCTATAGACTGGTTCCTGTACTTAAATTATCTGTCACTTAACTCTTTATCCAAAAGAGATGAATAATGCAATAAAAGTATATGATGAGCTTCTTAGGCACTTCATTTTAACTAATTAACACCATGTCAACTGTTTATATTATATATGGGTTATTCCATTTTGGATTTGTGAGGGTAGAAAAGGACTTCAAAAATCTAATCAACATACTTTCTTTGAATAATTTTGCAGACTTCAATAGGACATACCACTATAAATGACCTACAACACAAGTCTAAAAAAAATATACTTCCCTTCCACATTCATTTTAATTGAACAGCCCTAAAACTGCCTTGCTATACATTTTTTTTAATTGCTCTGCCTTGTCAAATTTTTTTCGTATTTTGCCTCAGAAGCTTTTTGTGTAAGGCCTAGGAAGTAAATGTTAATTGAAAGATAAAGCAGAACCTGTCTACTGATTCTGTGATCTTCCTTATATTGTCATAACTGAATGTTGCTTCCCATAAAATGAGCAAGACTTAGAGTTTTTATGTGTAGATAGTTACAGATCATTTTAATAATAGTTCTGATGGTTTGGCTTTCGCTGAGTATTTTCCCATTCGCTTCTTTTGCAGTTAACACTTATATGAAATTGTAATTGCACAGTCAAAATGTGAATATATGGTTCAAAGTTACTTTTCAAATGTCCATAGTACACTATCCTGTATTCTCTGTTTTGTTAGGTGAAAAAAAAATTAATCACTATGGAATTATGGGAAGATATCTACTCTTTTTCCTACAGTTTTGTACTAAACAGTGAGATATAGTTGCATGAGTGAGGAAATTCTGTCAATACTAATTTTACAGTAGCTTTTTGAAAAAAGTATTCCCATTTAAGCAAAATAATTACGATATTGAAAAATTATATGAATTTAAATTGTAGATATTTTGTAATAATATATCTTTGCTTGGTCTTGTTGCTAGTTTTCATTTTGATTTATTCATTTTTTAATTTAATTATGATGCTTTAGTTGATAGTTTACATAGCTTTTATGCTGCATGATATGTCAGGATTTAAAAAAAAAACTTTTTTTTTGGTTTATCTTTGCACTGCATTGTTCTGTTGTTATTTATTCACTTATACATTCTACACACAATCTAGATGATAACAATTGCAAATTTTCTATAATTGTTGCAAAATGAGTCCCGAAATCACAGTCAAAGTTAAAATTGATACTTTTTTAAGGGATTTACCCTTATCACAGATATATGGACTGAAATAGCATGAAAAGTTGTATAAATTCTCTTATTTGTGTCAAACATTTTGATATGCATGGTTATAACATATGTCAGACATTTCAAATGTTTATAGGTCAAATGATCCAGACTGATACTTTTCAAGAACTCTGTGACAGTATGAAATCAACACTGTAAAAATTATGAAAATTCTCTATGATAGTAGAAATATAATATTACATAGAATGAAATTAGATTATGGATTTTTATGCCCCCGCCTTAGCGGAGGTGGCATTAAGTTTTATCCTTGTGCGTCCGTACGTCCCAAAGTTGGTTTCCATTCTCTAACTTTAGTTTGCCTCAACCAAATGTTATGAAAATTATACACAATGCTTATTACCACAAAACACAGATCAAGTTTGAATTTTGGTGGCGTCACTTAAACCATTCTAGAGTTATGCCCCTTTATAAATGGAAAAATTGCTGAATTTTTTGTTTCTGTTCTCTAACTTTAGTTTGCCTCAACCAAATGTTATGCAACTTATACACAATGCTTATTACCACAAAACACAGATCAAGTTTGAATTTTGATGGTGTCACTTTTACTGTTCTAGTTTTTTTTGGGTGGACATAGATAAGCAGAATGTGTAAGAGTCAAAAAGAAATAGGGAAAAATAAAACAAAAGAACACTTAAATTAATCAGGGATCATGCAGGTAATATATTTGTCTAACATATATAACAATGTCTTCAAACTGCCTTTTCTATTTTACTTGAAGTATTTTTAAAATTGTTTTATTTATTTACTCTAATAGTTTGCAAAATTTTAAGAGACAAAAAATTTACAGAATGCTTTCCTTTTGATAAATTGGTTCTATCTAATAAGTATCTTAATGATCCTTACCAATACATATAAAGTTTGTAAATACAAGAACAAAGATATTCTGTCGGAAGAGCTATTGCTAATTTCATTATTATATAAAATTATTTTCTCATCAACAGAAAAATCCAGGATCTACAAGCCGACTTGTCAAGTTCTACTCAGCAGTCAGCAAAACTTAGAGAAGAGAAAGATAGATTGAGGAAGGAAGGAGAGAAGGAGAGAGAAAATTTAATTGTAAAACATAATGATGTTGTAAATACTATTAAACTTACTTTACAAGATGTGGTAAGTTATAAACTGGCAGTAGAAGGTTTTACAAGTTAGAATCTGATTAATTGTTGGTGTTAAATGCCATTGTCAGCACTCCTGGGTACATTGTAGCAGCCAGTTTTGTTGGTGGAGGAGTGCCTGAGAGAATCACGACCTTTGGCAGGGAAACTGGTAATCCTAGTCAATTAAGGTGGTACCTAACACTACAGGGAGATAACTCTGTAAAAATCAGCTAAACGTTTTAATTACGTTGTATTGTTAAGGAAATATTAAGCTTCTCAATGATCAAAATTAGTGTTTGTCAAACTGCTATATAACCAATGAAATTTTTCTGATAAAGTGGTTGGTTCAAATTTTTTGAAATTTTTATATTTTTGTCAAAGGGTCAAAGTAAACATTTTGTCAAAATTTTATGAAAATTAAACGAGCCAAATTAATATTAGTCAAGGTGTTGGGTACCACCTTAAGATTGAGGTTGAAAACAACGGCCACTTGCTGGGTTCTAACTCACAAAATCAGTGTTGACAACCTTATTTTTGTTGAGCCCGCGACATTTATGTTGCGAAAGCGAGACATAGCGATCCTAGATTCCAGGGTTGGTGGCGTCAACATTTAGGTTCAGTCTGTGGTTAAAGTTTTTTAGACATTAATAACTTTGTCAAACCTTCATGGAATTTTAGGAAATTTGGACAGACAGTCTGGGATTAAATTTTTTTGACATGATAAATTTGTAAACCTTCATTGTTATGAAACTTGGACAGAAGCTAATCTTCAATACCAAGAAATAGCATCTAAAGAAAATTTTTTAATTTTTTTTTTAAATTTCTGTATTTTACTGATAAAATGGACTCACTTATTTGAGTAAATATTACATTTTTACACTGACTGCAGCAATAGCAGGCGAGACACTGGTTCCACGGAACCCCTTACAAATTTTTAAATTAACCTAATGACGCTGTAGATAAACTAATTAGACCCCTTATGAATCTGAAGATCAAAATATTAACTGATCATTTCTATAGACCCCTTATGAATCTGAAGATCAAAATGTTAACTGATCATTTCTAAAAGGATGAACAGGTCTAAAAGTATCAAACACTTCTATATGGTGATAAACAAACCTTCCCAACGTACAAAATAAACTTAGGGAGTAGAAAGATGTTGGATTAGTTTATGAAACATTTGATCAATGGCTTAAGTATTAGAATTTAGCTGTATATTTGGATCCATGGCATTTCAATAGTGACCATGTTATCAGTTGTGCAACACAAGCTGTGTTGGTATTTTCTATTTTTTTCGTGTGACATCAGATAATATAGTTTTGACTTTCTCCAGCAAAAAGACACTGAAACTTTAAAGCAGTATATAAGAAATTACAGGATTTTCAAGAAAATTTGAATACAATGAGATACTAAAAATACTTTTTTTTCTTTGCAGCAAAAAGAATTATCTAAATCCAATAATAAAATGACTGCCATGAAAGAAGACTTTGAAAAAGACAAAGAAGATGCTATTAATCGTAAAATTACTGAAATTAACAATTTAAAGAAAAATTTGGAACAAAGTAAAGCTGATTTAGAAAAACAAGAGGTTCAAACACAAGCTCATAAACAGGTTCTAGACAAAATCAATATGGAAATGGAAGCACTTAAAGTAAGTATTAAAAGAAGCTTTTACAGTTTAAGACAAAATTTCAGGAAGACAGCAACCCAAAATCACAAGTTAACAACAAAAAACATATACTGTGGATTCATTTATTTTCGTGGGGACCAATTTTCGTGGATATTTGATTTTGTGGTTTTGCCCAAGTTGCATGTTAGCCTACAGAAATTTGTACTTTGTTGATCATTTAAGTTCATGATTCACTTATACCCATGTAATCCACAAAAAGTGGTATTCCACGAATAATAATGAATTCACAGTTTCAGATATTAAACAAACAACAACATTTGAAAAAAATATTTTGGAAGGCTCTTGTTACCCACCCATCTCCATTTTCATGGAATAAGTAGCCCTTTAGAAAAAAGGTAATAGATGAACAAATATTTACAAGTTGCTAATTTGAGTCAAATCGGGGAACATGAATTTGACAGCTAATGCCCCTTTAAATAACTATATAAAAAAAGGAGATGTGGTTTTATTGCCAATAAAACAATCAGTCCAAATGATGTGGATTTAAACAACTATAGGTCACCGTACTGCCTTCAATACCAATACAGTAGAGACAGCTATAAGAGTCTCCAATATGATAAATTGTGAAACAATTAAAAACAAAAACGGCCGAATTTATGACAAAAGTTTTAACGAAAAACAAATATGACAGACATCCCTTTAGATACTTGCCAATTCTTCCAACAACATTTCAAAGAAGATCTTATAGTATTTGTGCAAAGCCCCTGTGTAACCAATAGTTGTATGTTATTTTTATTCAATTGTTTGTACTAAGGCTTTCAGAGGTTGAAATGGGAAAAAAATGAATTTAAAGAATTTTTTAATTTTCAGTTTGAAAAAGAAAAAGCAGACAAAATGGTGAAACGGTTGGAAAGTGAAAAAGACAGTATAAACACAGACTTGATACATATCAGAGTAACTAATAGTAAGGTTCAATTGGAGTACGAAAAAATGGTGGACGAGAAAAATAAACTTCAACAACAAATAGAGGATCTGAAGGAAGACAAGGACAAGGTGTCAGAAACTAAATCTTCTGTAAGTTTATTTTCAGAAACTAAATCTTCTGTATGTTTATGTCAGAAACTAAATCTTCTGGGAGTTTATTGTCAGAAACTAAATCTTCTGTAAGTTTATTGACAGAAACTAAATCTTCTGTGAGTTTATTGTCAGAAACTATATCTTCTGTGAGTTTATTGACAGAAACTAAATCTTCTGTGAGTTTATTGTCAGAAACTAAATCTTCTGTGAGTTTATTGACAGAAACTAAATCTTCTGTGAGTTTATTGTCAGAAACTAAATCTTCTGTGAGTTTATTATCAGAAACTAAATCTTCTGTAAGTTTATTGACAGAAACTAAATCTTCTGTAAGTTTATTGACAGAAACTAAATCTTCTGTGAGTTTATTATCAGAAACTAAATCTTCTGTAAGTTTATTGACAGAAACTAAATCTTCTGTGAGTTTATTGTCAGGAACTAAATCTTCTGTGAGTTTATTGTCAGAAACTTAATCTTTTGTAAGTTTATTGACAGAAACTAAATCTTCTGTAAGTCTATTGTCAAAAACTAAATCTTTTGTAAGTTTATTGTCATAAACTAAATCTTCTGTTAGTTTATTGTCAGAAACTAAATCTTCTGTGAGTTTATTGTCATAAACTAAATCTTCTGTAAGTTTATTGTCAGAAACTAAATCTTCTGTGAGTTTATTGTCAGAAACTAAATCTTTTGTAAGTTTATTGTCAGAAACTAAATCTTCTGTGAGTTTATTGTCAGAAACTAAATCTTTTGTAAGTTTATTGTCATAAACTAAATCTTCTGTGAGTTTTTTGTCAGAAATTCAATCTTCTGTGAGTTTTTTGTCAGAAACTAAATCTTCTGTGAGTTTATTGTCAGAAACTAAATCTTTTGTTTGTTTATTGTCAGAAACTAATCTTCTGTGAGTTTATTGTCAGAAACTTAATCTTCTGTAAGTTTATTGACAGAAACTAAATCTTCTGTGAGTTTATTTTCAGAAACTAAATCTTCTGTAAGTCTATTGTCAGAAACTAAATCTTCTGTAAGTTTATTGACAGAAATTAATTCTTCTGTAAGTTTATTGTCAGAAACTAAATCTTTTGTAAGTTTATTGTCAGAAACTAAATCATCTGTATGTTTTTTGTCAGAAACTTAATCTTTTGTAAGTTTATTAACAGGGCAGATTGTCAGGAACTAAATCTTCTGTAAGATAATAAGAATGACAGAGAGTCAGGCTGTTGATTTTCTGTAATTTGATAAGGGCTGTTCCATTAAAACATACATGGTACTGGGAAGGCACTTTGAAAATAGGGTAACTACCTATAGAGGCAATTTTAGAATATCTTTTGTATATTCACTTGACAATAGCCCATAGAAGTACCTTTTCTGGGTCCCAAGTTTGATTTATGGGACAGCCCTTAATTAATGATAATATCAGGATTTCAAGCCTCTTCATCATCTTAAGAAGTTTTAAATACAATAGGGTTTCAGACTCTAAGTTATTAATAAGTGTACCTTAATAAAGTAAAACAAACCTGTGTATAATCTGTATTGATACATAACCCTCACATCATTTTTCGCCAAAGGAATTCTGGAAAAAAAAATTTATCACTCCAGTTATTTCAAGTCGTGTGTGATCTTGTGTGTTATTTTCATTGGGAAAACCTGTTTGCCATTATTTAGTTAAAATTGGAAGTATTTGTAGATGATTCTAAAACACTTCACAAGTGTTAAAATAAACCAAAATCACAACAACAACAAAATTGGAAAAGATGTTTTTGTCATTAATAGGAAACAAATGTGTAGATTGCAAACAAATATGGTGAGGGTGTGCAAAAATTCCCTACTTCACAGATATTACAAAAAACACAACTTTGAAAAATCAATGTGCTGAATGGGAAAACTGATTATGCAAAGATTTGAAGTATTAAATTCCAAAAAAAACCAACATGTTTACATCAATTCATTGAGAAATTAATAAATAAGTACTTTATTTCTCTTAATTAAGTCTCCCAAACGAAGTTTGGGAAGACTTATTGGTTTTGCTCAGTTCTTATTATTATTATTATTATTCTTCTTCTTCTTCTTCTTCTTCTTCTTCTTCTTCTTCTTCCGCCGCTTTTAAATTTGAACTTGTCCGCACCTGTTCTCCAAAACCGCTTGTCAGATTAACTTAGGGTTTCACAATATGTTAGACTAACATGTCTAGTGGTGCAATCAGGGTTTTGTTTGTGCAATGGGGTTTATAAAGGGGTACTTTGAGGGGCAAAAAGAAAGGAGGGTTTTACTATAGAACCCTATGGGATTTTATTTTTAAAAATTTCCAAATGATTCTAAATTGAAAACCGTTTGTGATAGACACAATCTTTTTAATTGAAAATGTTCTAAATGATAAAGCACATTAAATGAAATACAGGGTTAGTCCCCAGGGGTCACCCCCACCCCCTGCCATTTAAGAAAGTTCTAATATCTTGTAAATGGTTGAGATCCCCACCCCTAAACCATATATATTCTGGTTTGTCATGCTAAGATGGTTTGAATGATATACAGGGTTAGTCCCCAGGGGTCATCCCGACCCCCTGCCATTTGAGAAAATTCTAATATCTTGTAAATGGTAGAGATCCCCACCCCTAAACCATATATATTCTGGTTTGTCATGCTAAGATGGTTTGAATGATATACAAGGTTAGTCCCCAGGGGTCATCCTGACCCCCTGCCATTTGAGAAAATTCTAATATCTTGTAAATGGTCGAGATCCCCACCCCTGAACCATATATATTCTGGTTTGTCATGATAAAGCACATCAAATGAAATACAGGGTTAGTCCCCAGGGGTCACCCCCACCCCCTGCCATTTTAAAAAGTTCTAATATCTTTGTAAGTGGTCAAGATCCCCACCCCTAAACCATATATATTCTGGTTTGTCATACCAAGATGGTTTGAATGATATACAGGGTTAGTCCCCAGGGGTCATCCTGACCCCCTGCCATTTGAGAAAGTTCTAATATCTTGTAAATGGTAGAGATCCCCACCCCTAAACCATATATATTCCTGTTCATCATGTCTCGAACATTTGAATGACGTATACGGTCAGTCCCCAGGGGTTCCCCCCACCCCCAATGTTCTAGTATCTTGTAAATGGTCAAGATCCCCACCCCTAAACCATATATATTCTGGTTTGTCATGCCAGGATGATTTGAATGATATACAGGATTAGTCCCCAGGCATCACTAATGCATATAACTTTACTGGACTTTGTCCAATGTCAGGCGACCCTGGGAATTACGAATTATGGGAGCTTCGTTTGGGAGACTTCGTAACAGCATCCTGTTACAATCATTTCTTGTTATATATAAGATTTAATTTAAATTTTGTATTTTGAATAGATTCAACAAGAAAAAGAAGAACTGGTAACCGAGAAGACTAAACTTGTGGAAGAAAATGATAAAGTTAACAGGGAACTAGTGGAAAGTAAAGCTTCACTACAACAGAAAGATATACAGATAGAAGAATTACAGAAAGAGGTATAGAAGTAAAACAAATGAAAATCTTTTAACTGAAAATCGGGAAAATTTATGCAAGAGGTTTCTTTTCGCTTATTTCATGATTAAGATAGCATCTTACTTACATATGATCATAAGAATATCAGCATCGGGGGAGGAGGGGGGATGCCTTTTGGGTAAGCCATATTAATGGTGAATTTGGAACTGCGGAAAATTTACCACTGAACAGTATATATGACAAATGTAAAAATCTTACCTTGTTAGATATACAAACACCCAAAATGAAAATTGTAAGAACCAGTTTTGTTTGAAGGGAAGGCTCATTTCAATTATATAACTTTCAGTGTTGAAAAGGAAAAATGAACTAAACTTTCAATTACCGTGGATTTGTCTTTATTTAGGCGGATGTAATTTTTTTTGTGATTTTTCATTAATTTAAATTAATCTAAATTTGATCATTAATTTAAGTGTTTAGCAAAATAAAATTCAATTGAAGGCAGAATTTGAAAAATCACTAAATGAAGTGATCCATGAACTTTCAATTTTTCCTTTAACAACAAAAAATGTTACCCACAAAAATAAATGAATCTTCATTACAAATAAATAAGATAAGAAATGCCTGAAAATAGAGAAATACAAATAAATTATTAGTATTTTTGTTGGAAAATGTGATCTCATTTGTAAAAGAAAATATATATTTTTCCCAGATTCAGAAAAGGTTTTGCAATAAAAATAAACGAAATTTATTTGAAAAATTAGACTGAATAGGCATATTTACACTTGTATGCAAATTTGTTATCCATTACTAAAAATCACACCACAAAACATTGCATCACAATTTAAAAAATTTGATGTCATAATTAAAATATGATTGTTGCATGACGTTAGAAGGTTATTCTGTGATAGAGACAAGGTTCAGCTAAATATAAAGTATAAATATGTATGAAAAACAAGGAAATTACAGCTATAGCTTAGATACATAGATATGCATTTTATTTTATTTTCATTTTAATAATAGGTTGAGAAAATGAAGACAGAAGTGAATGAAAAAGAAGAAGCCATGTCACAGAAATCACAAAGTCAGTCACATGATCTACAAACACAGGTTTGTAAAGCTAGACTGGGAACGATTACTTCTTTTTTTATAACACTGATGTGTCATTTCACAGATTATACACATATGTATATGTATTGCAAGTCTGCATGACTTAAAAGTTTGTGCTTTACATTTTTTGTCAATGCAATGACAGATTTTGAAGGTACACAATATTTGACTGCAATGCAAAATATTTTCTAACAAAGATAGTGATTATAGTTGGACTCAATCAAAAGTATAAAAAGCATAGCATAAAAACCAAAAATACCAAAACAAAGCAGCCTTTATATGAATTATCAGTTTGAAAATCCAATCAGTATCATGATTAAGATAACAGTGTTTATCAACACAACTAAGTTAGCTTCATCAAGAACAAAAGGAGCACTACACAAAATGTTAACTTTATAAATGTTGTGCATCCAAAGTGCTTTTGTGGATGTACCTTCATCAGGAACACTCAAGCATAAAAAATGAAAGCCAAGGATGTACAAATACCTGGACACTTTTAGAGCTATATAACCAAAATGGACTGAAAAATAAAAGCCAAATCACAAAATGGAATAACCAAACGTGACAACACATATCAAGTTAGTATTTATACTTTATACCATAGAGAAAATTACTTTATTTTTTATTTTACAGATTGAGAAAGCACAGGCCAGGGTCAAAGAATTAGATGGCATGTTACAATCTGAAATTAGCCACGGAGAAAAGAGAGTGAAGGAATTGGAAAAGAAACTTCTAATGCAGACCTCCGAGACAGATCAACGATACAACCAGTTAGAGGCTTTATTTAAAGAGGTGGAGGATGAGAGAGATACCATGAAGGCACAGTTAGAATTCTCTAATCTGGTAGCTGAAGAAAGGAGGAGGGTAATTATTTTTTAGGTTTTGTTAAAGTCAATAAACTGTATTAGGGCTGTTCCAAAAAATATACATGTAACTCATGGAAGGTACTTTGAAATCTGATCTATACCATGTATAGGTGGCAAATACTTTTTTGTACAGTGAAAATTTAAGTGAGATTATGAATTGCCTCTATAGGTAGCTACCTCATTTGCAAGATGCCTTCTATAGGTACCATGTAAGTTTTAATGGAAAAGTCTTAGATAGATATTGGGGGAAAAGGACTTTGAAAAAAAAAATATTTCCCAACTCATACAGAGGATGGTTTCTTACCTTTCACTTGTCCAAAACTTTATACTCTACCTTTGTATTATGGAATGATTTGATATTTGGCCTGGGACTTTATAATCATGCCATAATGATGATTTGTACTGTGTAAATGGGACTTGTAAAAAGTCTAACCATTAACCTTAAGCTCATTACCTGCCCCCTAAAATCTGCTTTTGAGATTAATTACTCTGTAGTAACTGACTTGTTGAAATCTGTTTTATATATGAAGAAAGGAAGAGAAAAGAATATGTTTTTATGACATAGTTAACTTAGGAGTAACATTCACATTAGTAAGGAGTCAAATATGAAAGAATCCCAAATAGATAAAATAAACCTCGCCCTACAATTTGTAATATCACAGAGGTAGTTAAAAAATAATCTGCACATAATTACAAAATAAAACATAATGCAACTAATCATGTCATTGTCTTCTTCTTTCACAGTTAGAAGAACAGAACATGCAGTTGAACCAAGAGATGGAGAAAACAGAAGATAGGTGGGTGTCGTCTTTTATCAAATTGTTTGTAGTCTTGTCATGGTTGATCACTTCACTATGTGTGTGTGACACATTAAAACTTAGAAAGTTTTTAGTCATTTAATAGAATAAGTGAATAAGTGGTCATAATTTTCATAGATACTATTCATGTTCACTTATAAGTCTGAAATTTGGGAGTTGAATAAGACACAAAAGTTTTGTATTCATTTCTTTTCAACAAAAACTATTTAGGCATTTATGGTGGTTTGGCTGTCACCAGCATAGTTTTGCCCAGAAAATTTACATCTGGCCACCTTTCTCTGGCTTGGATTTTTCCTCTGGTCGCTGAATCTGTAACTCTTTCTGTATATTGAATTTTACTCCCAAATTTCCGACTTATAAGCGAGCATGTATGGTATTTTGGTGATAATACAAGTTATCGTACAAGAAAATCAGCTGTTTATTTTGAAATAACTGTATACAAAGAAAATATCAGTTCAAATCATATAGTGTATATTTTGTAAATGCAGTAAAAGTAAGTAGTTTGACCAGGAGATCAGATTGAAGTTGGGACTCATGAAGAGGGTTTCTCAGTATGTCTTATTATACAAGATATCTATTAGGGTGTAAAAGTTAAAAGTAAAAAGTTATCATTATCTAAGCATTTATAAGACTTATTTGGTATCTTGGTAAATCAAGAATTGGTGCTGTTGAATTTTCCTGAAGAAAGAATTGAAATAGTCACCAAAACCTCAACTAAGAAATCCAGAATTGGTGGTGTAATTTTATTAAAAAGTTAATAATTTGGCCTAAACAATAACTGGTTTGTCTCAAACAACCTGCATTTACTTACTGGGAATATAACCAATAAATTTAACTTGAAAACAAGAGAACACAGTATGTAATTCATGAAAGTTTTAAGTTCAGCAATTTAAAGGGTTATGGACTTATTTAAGTCTTATTGGTATAAAAAAGATGTTGATTCTAATTTAATTTTGAAACCAGCAAATTGTAAAGAGGGAGAGGTGTTGGGAGTGCATCTATTAGGACAAGGGGGTTATATTGGTATTTATACAGTATTTCTGTGTCATATATGAACAAACTTAATAAGTTTAAGTTTCATTTCTAATTTGAATTAAGTCTTTAGGAGCTTTTAAAGTTATGAATATGAAGTTTTAGCATTAGTTTTCAATTTTATGTGATGATATTCGCAGTGAAGGAACATGATATTTAGTGGTTTCTTTGGAAACAAAAGTTAAGAAAAATATTTATTGCTTAACTGATTGTGTAGTGAAGGTCTAGAACTGTCTTATTAAAAGTGTGTATTGTTTTTTATTTAACCTTTGACTGTGTGTCGCTGATTTCTCCACATGGTCTTGATGGTAAGCTCATAAGTGCATGATTGTTATATTTGCTAGAAATTATTATTGCACAGTTATTTCTACAAACTTAAGTGACCTTGAATAATGCTTGTTATAGTTACATCCTCTGAATTTATCATTTGAATCTTTTTTTTTTTCATTCTTTGATTTTGATCAATGTTGTACAAGCTTTACTTGTCTTCTGTTTGTTTAAAAGTGTCAAAAATAGAATTTTCAAAGTCAAATATACTTTACTAATTTGCTTAATTTTAAAAGCTTTTAAATAGACCTACATGTACATCAGAAAAGTTAATCATTGAATTCATTACGCAGAAAATTTAAAAGTGTCTGTTACATTTAAAAGATGTAACCTCTTTTTGAAAAACAGTTTGACATTTGAATTTCTACTAAAAAGATACAAATTTATAACCTACTCTGAGGACAAAATGTTATAAGAAATACATATATTTGGGAATAATAGAAGAAAGAAAAAATTCTTTTAAACTATACAATAAAAACTGATTCAGATATTTTTTTAACTCACAATCTACTACTAAAGTACTTGTTAACCAAAAAATATTTTCATCAAAATTTTTCCTGTATTCAAGAGAAAGAAGTAGAAAATACAAAATTTTTTTTTAATACAGCAATTTTTTGTCAGATGCATAAATTTGAACCTCCTAATTATGCTTGCATCTTTAAGATTTAAAAAGTTTTCTGATAACAGGTTTGATATATTACCTTGAATGAAATAATATCTGGATCAGGTTAACAGATCACGTATACTAACTGCATGATATTCTTTGTTCAAATGACTCTGATACCAGGAACACTAGACAATATGGAATGATTAATAAAGCCAGTTTATTAATACATGTATTAGTATAAGTAATCTTGCTTCTGTACATGCATGGAAATGCCCATTGTAGACAATTAATTATGTTAATATATCTGGTACAAATGTATTTTGAATATTTGTTAGGTTTCTGCGACCGTTGTAGATTTTTCAAGCCTACCTGTTATTGATAAATATTTCACATTAACTGAAAGTTTGAAGATAGTGCCATTTGGTCTTGTGATGTTGATATGTTGAAATGCATATTATCCTTGATGTCACATATTTTCTCTTTTGACAAAAAATTTGCTTGAAAACTGCTTCTTTGGTGAACAAACTCAAAATTAGTGTTTTGTCTGACCTTGCAAATTTTTTCAGTGAAATATGAAAAACTTATGAAATTAGAAAAACAATATGGCATCATGGGCATAGAACTATTAGATTAGAAACATAATTACAAATATCTACTGAAAAAAACACTTAAAACAAACATAAAATTTAAATTTAAAATATGATATTTTATTTTCTCTCCTAGACTTTGCATTTTAGGGCAAATAACATTTAGTTAGATACATTTAAAACAAATTGCTACTCCTTAACATTTTAAGTTAAGCTTTTTCACTTTTTCAGCCTTCTTAGTTAGATTTTTTATGTATTTAAAAAGTATTTCTATGTATATTTAATAATTTTGTTTTTTTTTAAATGAAGATAAAAGTAAAGCATATAACCGATACAATTCAATTTTAACTGCAGTATTAATCGACAAAAATGACTTGAAATACATTATATATCCTGTGCCCAGTTCCTTGCATCATGAATGAATAATTTCAATAGAATAATCTCCAATTGAATCCAGTCGGCATTGTTTAAGAACAATTTAGGTATATTACATGTGAAATGACAAAAAATTAAATAACAGCTAAAATATTTATGTTTGTAAGAACACAGAATTTGCTTAATTGTTAGGTGAATCATGAATATAATTATAGGTCGACAATAACAGTTCAAATTGGTTCACAAGCATCCAGAAATTGTGACTTATTCCTTAATTAACTTGGTGAAAGTGATGATTTTAACTCCAGAGATAGAGAAAAAAACAAACGAAAAAATTATTGATATAGAAAATTCATGATCCAATTAACAAATAAGCAAATCTCAATTTATTATACATTGTACTATGTATACACTTAATAGTGAAGCTGAAATAGACATATTACGTATGACTTATTTTCTTTTTTGTTCATTTTTTCAGTCACAGAAAGGAAATTGAAAGTCTGGAAAAGACGAAGATTTCTCTTCAGAAGGAGGTGATTATGACCTTTTTTTTTTGCTCAAGATTTGTTTGTATATATGATTTTTAGTTCAAATTATTTGACAGATTTTATAAGTGAATCTTGTCACCTGTCCCACTTGAAACTATCAGATCGAGACGTGCATATTACAAAATTTATACCTTTTTGATGAGATAATTTCTATTTTTGGATTTGTTTGCCCAAATTCATCTACTGGTAATCGATTTGATATTTCATTGAAGCAATATAATTCTACTTTTCTTCAAATATGTGGAACCTAATCACAAGTGTTTTTTTCCACCTTTTTTTACATACAAATTCACACAGTGTACAAAATAGCAAAACCAACGTATGTATTATTTGATGCAAATAGTTATTTGTGGTAAAGAATTAGTGATACTCAATTATAAATCGGTTTAGAACAGTAGAATAAATCATTTTTCTTTTTTGATACAAACAGGTTGCCAACTTAAAGAATGATAATGCCTCACTAGAAAAGTTCAGACATTCAACAGAGAACCAGGAACAAGAAAATAAAGACTTGATTAGTCAGATAAACTCACTGAAATCTCAGCTTCAGGCTCAAGAAGTCAACAGCAATACTATAGGACTGTCAGGTAAAATCTCAGATACAGGCTCTAGAACTCAACAGCAATACTTAATGGACTCTATTGTAAACTCTTAGCTTTTGACTCGTTTAATAGCATAGGAATGAGAGATAAAATAGTAGTTTCTTTTAGACTTAGGAAGTCTATAGCAATTCTATAATGCAGTAAGTTAAAACTCAACTTTAGATGGACAAACATACTATTTGATAAAAGTAAAATTTAGCTTCAGGCTCTGGAAGTCAATTACAACACACATTATCGCTATTTGTCTGCTTATATTGAGACATTGTTTTTTTGTAGCCTAATGAGAAGCTAATATTGAGATATTGTTGGTTTTTTTTTGTAGCCAATGAAGTTGAAGATAAACAGACAATAGACGGTCAGGTCAGTCAGTACATATATTTACAGGATAAAACCTATATTTAACACTCAGATTAGGAAAATATTTCAAAATTCAATAAGGAAAGAAAGCCTTGAGATAGATATCAAATTTTAAAACTTGTAGATTTGGGAATAAAAATGGATAGTAAAAAATACTGTTAACCATTTTCGATAAACAGTGTACTAAGAAAAACGTCTTTTATTTCTTTACATTGTTGTTTTTAATTGTCCCGCTTAAAGAATACTGGCCTTGGGGTAACAATCATTTCAACATTGGGTGTCTTCTATAAACTATATCACAGCATACTGCAAAGAAAGTGTACAACCATACACAACTTTTTTGAAAGAATGTATGTGCTGAAATAAGATAGTAAGATCCTTAATTTTGTTATTTGATTTTAGGTTGAATTCCTTAACTCTGTGATAGTTGATCTACAAAAGAAAAATGGAGATCTAAAAACCAGATTAGAAGCCATGGAATCAGGTGTTATAACAAATGGGGAGGCCAATAGTTCCATGGAAGAAGTGTAAGTCCTTGGTTTGGTTGTAGAGCAGATATGTCTTCAAAATGGTGTAACATGTTAAGTTATCTGAAACAGATCATTTGAACGTTATAGGTTGCAATTCTGTAAATACAGACAATGCAATTTCCCATAGGAACTCCCTTTGCGGCTAAAACTGTGACACTTTTACTATGAAGTTTCGTGAAAAATAATATCCCAGAACGGAAAGTTTATATGCACTACTATTTTATTCAAAGGTCAAAATATAGGGCTGTGCGGCATATTTTCAACATTTATATGCCCTGAACTTCTAAGAGTTTAAACTTATACTAAAATTCTATACTACCCTTACCTCCATTTTTGGACCTCCTAAGAATTAAAATTTAGCCGCTACCATGTTTTTCTATACTGGTTACATTCCCAAGTGATGTCTCTATGAGATGAAACACAGAGATCATCAATGGGAACCAGTACGTTAACAAATTAACATACCTATGAATATTAAATATCTCCCCAAAAGAGGCGTGGTTTGAGAAACAGCTGTATTTACAAAGTGCAACCTATACAAACATTTATTCAAATAGAAAACTCTCTAAAAACACTGTTTCTCACAACAATACTTATTTATCAGAATTATAGCCTTAAAGAAATCACTGCATATACTCTAAGTCTCCTTTTACAGTACATTTTATACCCCTACCCCTGTTTCAATTTTTTAAAGATTTTGAAAACAAGACTCTAATTATTGCCAGCTTACCCTATGTGCATGTTTTCTGACATGTACTGTCTAAAACCTGTTTGAAACTATTCTGATAACAAATTGAAAGCATTTTAGAATACTATAAATGTATTGTTTAGTAGTTAAGCATTCCAACATTCAAGATTATACAAAGTATCCAATCCTGCCTGTGTCTCCAGTCCACATCTTACTGTATGCCTATTTGTCAATGAAAGTTCACAATTTCTGCCTCAAATGGTCAGTTTAGAATTCTTGTCACAACAGTATCATCCCTAACCATATATCTAACACAAGTTAGTTAATATATGTCCTAGAAGTGTTTAAACAAAGCCATATTTGCAAAAGTTGTATTTATGAAGATATAAGTCTGGTGCATAAATTCACTAAAAGTTTGATTGAAATGACTGCTTACATCTGATTTTTGCATAACTTCCTAGCACAGTTATTGTTAACTTTATAAAAGACCTTTAAAATAAAAAAATCATAGCATTTACAAGTTAAATTATCTGTTTTATGACTCAGGGGTAGGCATTTTTCTCTGTGTTTTGCCCCTGGGGCATCACATTTCCTAATTTTTTTCCCTGTTTCTAGCAATGTGGAATATTTACTACATATTTAGGATAGAACACACTATTGTAAGTTTTACTGAGGTCTTTTTGTAATTCTAGCTTGTACTTTTTTATGCCGCAGTCACAAAAAAGCACATTTAGGCGTTACGGCTTACTTTTGGGTTATCGACAGGACAAAAACACCCCACCAGAAATATTTAGGAAGGATCAATGAGTTGCAATTACTGCGAAGAGTAAATATAAGCACTTCTAAACAATTTAAATTACAAATAGGCATATATTATGAATTTATTTTGAATTCAAGGCTTTAAGTAAACCATGCATACTGGAAACTGTGAATTTATGCTGAGTCATCATAGTTAAGGCCCAGGATTTTCTCAATCTTCATGAAATATTTATAAGACTTCATATTTGAGTTAAATTCTTTAAAATCTCTGAGATAAACCAGATTTTGTGAAATTCTGTATGTTCTATTTTTTAACCCTATATAGGTTGCAATTCTGTAAATACAGACAATGCAATTTCCCATAGGAACTCCCTTTGCGGCTAAAACTGTGACACTTTTACTATGAAGTTTCGTGAAAAATAATATCCCAGAACGAAAAGTTTATATGCACTACTATTTTATTCAAAGGTCAAAATATAGGGCTGTGCGGCATATTTTCAACATTTATATGCCCTGAACTTCTAAGAGTTTAAACTTATACTAAAATTCTATACTACCCTTACCTCCATTTTTGGACCTCCTAAGAATTAAAATTTAGCCGCTACCATGTTTTTCTATACTGGTTACATTCCCAAGTGATGTCTCTATGAGATGAAACACAGAGATCATCAATGGGAACCAGTACGTTAACAAATTAACATACCTATGAATATTAAATATCTCCCCAAAAGAGGCGTGGTTTGAGAAACAGCTGTATTTACAAAGTGCAACCTTTATGATTTGGATACTGTTAATTTAATTTTTCTGTCACTTTTTTTCTTCACTATTCAGTATTTCTGCAGAATCAGAGACATAGGGATGCTAATCTTGCAATGGCATGAACTACTTTACGAAGCTTAATATTTCAGAAGGTATAATACCATGTGGCAGGGTCCTTCTGATCTTGACCTCATTTACATGAATCATTGATTATGTTAATTTTTTGTGATACTTGCTGTAAAGCTTTATCTTAAAGACTTTCAACATCAATTCAATCATGATCAGTAAAGCAGCAGAGATATTTCAGCATGTGTACTCTTGGTTTGTTTTACAGTAATTCTGTCTAAAATAAGTTGTTATACTAGTTAAAAGACCAGTTTTTGCTCTTGATCCATTAAAAGATTTCCCTAAAAAACAATGTTATAGGTTTGTCTCCAAGTTTTGTGCTGACACAATGTTAATCAGTCATCAATCAGTCAATCATTCCAAGTTGCACATTTCTTTGATATCTATTAATAGAAGAGAAAATAGGTGTGATGTATTTTTAGCTCACCTTGAGGAAAGGCCAAGTGAGCTTTTCTCACCACTTGGCGTCCATCGTCATTAACTTCTACAAAAATCTTCTCCTCTGAACTTGGCCACAATCATTATTGGGGTATCTAGTTTAAAAAATGTGTCCGATGACCCAGCCAGCCAACAAGATGGCTGACATGGCTAAAAATAACACATACAGGTAAAATGAAAGTTTTGCCTATTATTTTGAAAACCGCTATAAATAGAGAAAATCAGACATGAGCAAAACTGTTCAGAATGTTGAGCTCTACCTATTGTTCATTCACGTCAAAACTGTCAAACAACTTATAGGAGTTATTGCCCTAAAAAGATGAATTTTACCATTTTAAAAAATTTGTCTTTTATCTCAAAAATTATAATAGATAAACAGAAACTTTAAATAGCAAAAATGATCAGCAAGACAAGATCTACAAATAAGAATCGTGTCTGAAATCGTCAGTTGACTCCTTATTAGAGTTGTTGCCCTATAATGACGATTTTTTACCATTTTTTTTTTTGTGTTTTAGCCTTATATCTTAAAAACTATGTTAGATGGATAGAAACTTGTAAATAGCAAAAATGACCAGCAAGACAAGATCTACAAATAAGCCTAATGGCCGAAATCTTAAGTCGACTCGTTATTGCCCTTTAATGGTATTTTTTATCATTTTTGCCTATTACAAATGTATCTTGAAAACGGTAATAGATAGACAGAAACTTTAAATAGCACAAATGATAAGCAAGACAAGATCCACAAATAAGCCAAAATGGCAGAAATATGCAGTCAACTGGTTATTTTAAAAAGGAAAATTGTCAGCAGGATAAGATCTACAAATATGTCAACATGACTGAAATTTTTAGTTATCTCTTAATATTTAAGGAGTTATTCCCCTTTAATGATGATTTTTACTAAAAAGTGGCTATTGTTGAAGATGCAGGTGAGCAACACAGGATCTTTAGAGCCTCTAGTTATCATGTCTATTTATAGAAGTGAAAGTAAGAAGCCTACTCCACGATTATTCTGTGATGTATTTATTTCATGTCTATTTATAGAAGTGAAAGTAAGAAGCCCCCTCCACGATTATTCTGTGATATATGTGACGTGTTTGATAAACATGATACTGAAGATTGTCCTTGTCAGGCCATGGATTACGACGACGATACTCCATCACCTTCACATCACCATGGTGACCGTAAACAACTACGACCTTACTGTGATATATGTGAAGGTAAGAAATTTTTAGATTACAAAGAGTTCTGGGTAATATTTTCAAAGGCATTGACTGAAACTTGGTTGTTCATGAGGACTCTCATATCTTTCCAGTTACTGATTCTAATTTCCTTACACATCAAATTTACAAAAGAGGACGTTTTAGAGACTATATCTTGATGATTAAATTAGCAAAAATAACATCTTTGCAAAAATTTCCTATGTTAAATAATACAGTAATACAAAATATTACAAAATGTTTGTTGATATTGAATCTGTAGTAACGTTTTGATACGTTGATAAAATGCAAAATTCCAAATCTCAACAACAGAGCAAATGTATGACTGTCAATGTATGTGATCATTCAGAATTCATTTGAGCAAAGATTTAACTTTTAATTACAAAGAGTCAAAGATAAATTATTGTACTTTTGTTGAAAAGTTAAATGATAATTATTTATCTCAAGTTTAAAATGTGAGTCGTGTTCATCCAGCGTGAGCTTTATCATGATTAGCTCTCTTCTTCATCAGGTAAAAAGTTGATATTTATAGAGAATTGATATTACCGAAATCTCATAAATATATTTACAAGCATTATTCTGGCTTTCTTTGGCCATATCATGCTTTTCTGGATTCCGAAATGGAATTCTTAGCCTGTAATTAACTAACTTGGATATTTTCTCTTATATTGCATTCTGATGTAATGTTAATGGCATGAATTTTATTTCATTTTCAACTATATTATCATAAATTAACTGCATGATATGGCCAGTCAAAATTTAAGATTCTCTAATTAATTTAATCAAAGATTTTTTAAAAAAGATGATAACAAATATGTCTAAAAACTAAAATGAATATGCACACATTTTATTGTATTAAAATAATTTTAAAAACAGTACAGTTATATAACATTGAGAACATTTTTTTTTTTTTATGAATTTTGATTGGCCACAATCATCAACTGATAAATGTATATATCAAATTGAAATGAACCTCACTGGCAGATCTAATGGATGTTAAAAAGGGTCAAAATATATTGGTTTTTGTGGGCGTATTTGGGTATACCCTGTATATGAGTATTGAACAGGGATATGAAAAACTGATGTCAGTCTATCTATCTGTCCGACATTCTAAGCACTCTCACATCTGCAGTTTTCATTGATTTTCATGCAAAGTGCATCAATGGTTGACATCATCACTATCTCAGACTTTTTGAAAAATCAAAGCTGGTCCATGCTTTTCTGGGGGTTTTGGCCCTTGGAAATGTAAATTGTATGAAAAGTTCTCATTGCAAGTACTCTCCCACCTACATTTCTCTGCAAAAAGTCATCGGTCCTGGTCTTCCAAAATAGACACAATTGTTTAACTTATATTCATAATGACAATTCTTAAAGGATAATAAGATTCTTGTTTTTTTTTAAATTAATTTATATCCATTATTTAGAGAATACAATTAAAGATATGGTGATGTCTATTGATTCTGGGGATATGAAAAAGTAATTTTAGGAAATTTTATTGATCTGCCATTGAAGTAAAGTATTGTTATATTGTCATTAAAAATTAAAAGGCAATAAATTTACTTTGATATTTTTTAGGAATAACAGATAAGTATTTGCAATTTGAAAATATCTTTTTTATCTATTAAAATTTAATTATGATTTACAAAATATGTGTATTATTCAATCATATGTTTTTCGTAAGACCACATTTTTTTTGATAAATTGGTTTGTTAGATTTGTAAATTTTCATCTAAAAATGCTGGTTTGGTCAGTCGAAAATATCTAAACCCAAATGTCAACAAGGATCATTATGCAGCATATATCAAACCAGGTCTAAAATTAGATTTAGTATACTTCTTAGCTGTATCATCGCCTTTTAATGATTTGGTTTCATGCTGTCTATTCAGAAGATTTGGAGCTACTCTGAGAACATGTTTACTGGTAGACACCAGAATAGCATGGATGAGGGTCTGGATGGGGCTTTAAAAAAAAGAGTAATGGGAGGGGGAGTGGGAAATACGGAATAAAGTACCATGAGAATAGTGAATAATGTGGTATTAAAATATATAGAATAGAAATGAATGAGGGGGGAGAGATAAATAAGAGATAATTAGCTAAAAAATTTTAAAGAATACAAAAATGAAGAACACCCCATCCAGACCCTCATGGATAGAAATAGCATGTGATAAAATTATACAATGGAACCTTTTAGAGCCATGAGGGTAAATAGTTGTTAAAGATATGTCCTTTGTGTCTCTTTTGTTCCTTTATAAAGTAAAAAGAAAGTAAAATAAATATGGAATATTGTTTGCAAGGGTCCGGAAACGGTCATATATGCCAGTCATGTCCTAAGATGAAACTATTTGTCCTAAACGAGAAATTGGGATTCAGGACAAATTTTATTTTTTTAAAGAAGTAATTTTGGTCATTTCATTGACTCAATGTTTGAAATCGGATTCCTTAATCGCCATTTTGCACTGTCTTGTGTAAGTTGTAATCACTTGTTTTTGTTTATAATCCCTTTCCTGTAATAAAACTGCCACTCCAGTAGTTTGATAATCCTGAGGGCCCTCCTAATATCTATATCAATGCCTCCGGGAAACATTGGCTAATGATCGCTAATCACTTTTTACCTGTGGTTTTAATATTCACACCTGACAGTGATCACAAGCTCAGAATAATATCTTAACAAAAATTGAAATTCCCTGACAAGTGTATTCATTATTTAATTACTTTTCAACAAAGACAATCATCAAATCTGATTTAAAAATTAATCCTAAATTTACGGAGAAAAAAGTATTTTTTTCATGTGCTTTATTTACTATATAATACGCATGCGTGAAATTGTCTTCAGCAAATTTAATATTTAATCGTAAAATGCAAATGTAATGCCAAATTAAACGAGTGCAACTATTGTCTGTTACATTCAAACACTATTAAAGGTAATAAAATAAAAAAAAGCCGGTGATTTCCTGTCAATTTGATAAACAAAACAAATCCTGGAAATGAATCCGGAATTATTCGTATTTTAACTTTATCGCAAACTTCCGGTTTTAACTTTTGTCAAATCGAAAGAAACGTAAGCAATGTCTGAGAGAATTACCATTTTGAGTCATTAAAATCATTTCAATTTTAAACTATTGCCTTCCCTTAACTGTTCTTCATGGTAATGGTAAGACATTTACTTAGTAAATGCGATGAAACCGCAATACAAGTTCGTTGATGCTTTGAATCAAGTTAAGTTGACATCAACAATTTGGAAAGGGGCACCAACTTTTCAATCATCTCAAAATGACCGAAATTGTGTGGAAAAATTTCCGGATCCTTGATTGTTTTTACTGTTAAATAAATGAAAATAGGTTAGTCAGATCTGCAAACCAATTTCTAGGAAAAAACTGAATGAAAAAAAAAACAAATTCAGAAAAAATGACAATGTAACATTGACTGTGTGCATTCTTATTTTGTTTGCAGCATTTGGTCATTGGACAGATGAATGTGATGATGAACAGACTTTCTAACCAATCACCTATAGTCTTTCATGAAAGAAGATTTACTCCACCAATGGAATGCTGCATTTCATATAGAGCATGGATTTCCTTCCATATTTGTTTTGGTTTTAAACACATGTTAACAGTTTACGCAAACATGTTGCTTGTTTTGTTTTTTTGTTATTTATCATATGTTAATAAACTTTTCATATAAGTTATTTCCATAAAAAGTTAATTTTTAATTAGGAAGGAAAATTTATGTTAGTATGAATATAAACAAAGATTCCGAGGTAACGCTGAAGTTTGTGTTTAATCGAGCTTTTTGCAGACTATAGTTGCTTCTAAAACAGTGCCAATTTTGACGTGTGAATTTGTTTACATATGAGTCTGTGTTTGAACCACTTTGACATGTTGTGAAAATGGATTGAAATGAATTTCTTGTGGACCTCTTGGAGATCAAAGTGAGTTTTGAACTTTAATAAGTCATGCTTTCATTTGAACCTCAAGATGCAATGTGAACTGGCTTAGCAAAATGAACTTTTAGAAGCAGAATTTAAAGATCTGTTGTGTGAACCAGCTACTTACAGTTCTGAAATTTATGTGAAACATAGGTCTTTCGTCATCAGCAAATGTAACATTTGAAGAACCTAATGGCATGAACTTTGGCTTGAACCTGCTGAAATTCATCAAAAATGAGATACAATTTCATAACTGGAACAGAGTTAATGCTTTTTGCAGTACCCAGCTTTGAAGAGCCTCCTCATGGGTTTTTGATTATGTGATTACTTGGCCGTTTTCATAGTGATTATTTGATTACCAGACCAAATATTTCATGATTATTTGATTATTTGATTAATTAGGACTGTATTTTTGATTATCTTGTTTAAAAAAATAATTAATGATTATGTGATTATATTGGCAAAAAATTTGTGATTATGTGATTACTTGGACACCCCCATGAGGGGCCTCTTTGAACCATTGAGCTCTCAACTGAAGTTGTTTTTTATTTGTCTAACATGCATATGGCCAAGTCTGATTTTGGGTTGTGATTTGTGTTATATATGTACTCGGTATATATTTTAAAAAGTTGTGATGTTTATGTTTTAGCTGAGCAAAAATATTGTATTTCTGCTCAGGAAAAACAGCTATAGGAGTAAAATATTTAAAGTTGCATTTATGTAAAACAGGGTTTTCATTAGATAAAGTGAAACTAGAAAGAAATTCACCTTGTGCTTTTTTTATGGAAATTTGTAGCGTATAACATGAAAATGAAATCTTTCTTTTATTCAAAGAAAATATCTGATCGGTTATTGTATATCCGGTTAATTTTGGGTCAGATTTTTTTGTTGTTTGGGCCTGAAATTGGGCGTTTAAATCTTCAGTGTGTTCGTAATTCATGTTTCATTGTATTGTACAATACATTTAGACAAAAAGTGAAAATGTTCGTGTAGGGTACATTTCGTCGTAAAATGTTTACCTTGAATCTAAGACACGCATATGGTATATTGATGCTTCCAGATTGCATTATTCTCCCAAGTCTACGTTTCAACAATTTATTTTGGAATTATCTTCTCTTTTGACAAAACAAGGTAATTTTCAATCTGATTTAATGTGTCATGAATTTAATGTCACAATAGGACACATTTTTATAACAATATGCACAAGGTTAATTTCTAACTTGAATCCTTTACTAAGAAATTGACAGGGTTTTGTTTAAACCTATGAGGTATTTGTGCATTATTGATATTCATTGAAACTTCACTAACAATTTTGCTATTATTTCGAGATTAAATTTCCTTTTCTAAGGAGAAGGTATGAAAAGGCCTAAAGTGTAATAACAACCTTCATACATGAGTCTGTCATTTATCAGTACATATTTATATTTTTAAAATTTCCTTTAAATACTTTCTATACGCCATCAAACTTAATTCATTTAAGGAAAACAATGCAAAAACTTCCAACAAAGCCTCATTTTCAGATCATACAAAATGTCTTATGCAAAGATCAAGATGTTGATGGAAATAAGATGTCTTTTTGGATAAGGCTATTTACAATTTTTGTTTTAACTATGGGTAATAAAAATAACCATTGAAATAGGGATTTTTGGACCAACTGTCCAGAAAATATCATCCAATTCGTACATGTATAAAGATGAAATAATTATGATTTTGAAAGGATTCTAGTTTTTACCATTTGTGCCATTTCAGTTGGCACATCATTACCCTTATCATACCTCCTGCTTTGAGCTTAAGATTAAGAAGATAATCATATTTTTCTAGCAGCAGTTTCGCAAGCTTTTATAACAAAACTTAAATGCAATATTTTGAAGTTGTTAGAAAAGTGCTTTTCTAAGCCATCTTGTACAGGTTGTCTTCATTATCTAGTGAATCAGTGGAAATATAAATTTTACCTGTTTTTTTTTTTGTAGAATCTTGTGTATTTTTTTTCATACAGTGAAGTTGAATATCACATGGCACACATATCTAATTTGAAGTTTACAAATCCTGTTTAATTCTATCATCAACAAATATTATATAAGTAAATATTTCTAGTTCCAAGATTTTACAAAATATGCTAATCATCTGCTGATTTTCATTTATAATACCAGTTCATAATCTTCATCTATTTTCACCTGAAGTACAACTACCATCAGCAAGAACTGTACGACGTCACTTGATACAACTAGCTTTTGACATTGCATCAACCACCAAGATTTGAAAACTGCCAATTGTAACACTCCATGTTGGAAACATGTTGTGAAAACAAGCAAAATAATTATTATTATTTGTTTTATATGGACTCACATTGACTTCAAAGTCTACTAGTTTGAAGTATTGTCAAGGTCAAAAATTAAATAAATATCTGTTTAGGGTTTTATTAGTTCTAAGAATAGACTAGATGGGTAGAAATATACTAAAAATTCAATAATTATTTTAGATATTAGTAGACAGTTTTATGTTTAATAGGGATTGGCCAAAACTTTCAGTGAAATTGTTTATGGTAGTCTCTGGTATTAGTGTAGGTCTTGGAATTCATTTTTAAAGTGAAGTAATTAGGTATATAAGTATTTAGAACTAGTTTATTCAAGAAACCTTAAACAGATTGCAATTTTATCTTGGTCTGAAATAAAAACAAAAGTTTAAGATATCATATTTTCGGTAGAAATTAGGATTTGGTTATGGAAAACAATAAATATTTACTTTTATTTACTTTGGTACATGTACAATAATTGTATCTCTATAGACAAATATTTATGTCTTATATAAAAGATAACCCATATAAAACTTGTTTATTTTCCTTCACAAGTCTCTATAAAGACAAGGTTACCAAGAAGTTTTATTTACTACATTTTCAATTTATCATCAGTCCATGAGCATTTTATGACATAAACATTAGAAAGAAGAGATTTTGCACATCTTGTAAAATGTAGATATATTTAAAACCTGTGTATTATAAACTTATGTACATATATATAAATATTGTATATAATAATTTAACAAACTTGTCAAAGGTGATTATAAAATTTATCACATGTTTTTGTTTGAAGTGAGAGTCCAATTTTCGATGCAAGTTGCAGGAATTTTGGAATAACATATTTTTATGTGTTTAAATTACCTGTTGAAACCATACACAGCTCTCTAGTCTAGAACTAACAGAATTTTTTTCTAGATTGCTGTAAACGGAAAAAGAAATAAATGGAAGGATTGCCATCAGTAAAGCTACTACTATATATCACTTTTAATAACTGCTTATAAAATACAAAAACAGGTGGTAAATTTGTTAACCACTATGTATAAACACATCATTATGTAAATTATCCCAGTGCTCAACTTATTTACTTATGTATAAACCATTCCATGCTCTGTAGATTCATTATATTTCATTGGTAACAATATTCAGTGAGAGACCATTTCATTGATTACAATATTGAGGAAGAGACCATTTCATTGGTAACAATATTGAGGGAGAGACTATTTCATTGGTTACAATATTGAGGAAGAGACCATTTCATTGGTTACAATATTGAGGGAGAGACCATTTCATTGGTTACAATATTGAGGGAGAGACCAGTTGTTTAATTACAAAATTGAGGAAGAGACCATTTCATTGGTTACAATATTGAGGGAGAGACCATTTCATTGGCTACAATATTGAAGGAGAGACCATTTCATTGGTTATGATATTGAGGGAGAGACCATTTCGTTGGTTATAACATTGAGAGAGACACCATTGCATTGGTTACATATTTGAGGGAGAGACCAACAGTAGTCAGATATCCTAAAGCCAGCAGTTGATCCAGAAAATTCCAGGTTTTGAACCACCATTGTTTTGAAAGTTTCTTTGAACAAAAATCTCCCATAAAAATCATTAAGCAAAAAATCATTCACAAAATTGATCAGGATTACTTTTATTGAGGTCAAGCCTAAATAATTGCTTTTAAAATTAGTTGATTCTGATGTCATCCTGTCTTCTTAATAAAAAAATATTGTTTGTCTTAAATATTTGTTACCATGATCTATAATGAATTAACAGGCTATGTTTTTATTGTATATTTATGCTAATGGTTACAACATATGGTCATTATTGAAATATTAAATCATAAATACATGTCACATTAGTTGATTATAAATCAAAGGAAAACAAAGAGATTTTTTGATCCTCATTGTATGAAAAGTTAATCAGTACCTTGAAAGTATCCATCTTCAAAAAGGTTGCCACTATATATGTAGACATTGTCTTTTTGATGTGTACCTCCTTTTATTTATAAATATGGTGCTTTTGTTAAATTATATTGAAAAACCAGTTTTTGTGCACGTTCAATATTTATAAATGATATGGATTTTTTTGTGTGCATACTATACAGATGCAGTTTGTTGGTATATTAAGCTTATCTGAAGCTACTGCTGAATAACACTTTGTAAAAAATAATTACGCTTGAGCTTTACAAAAACAAGTACATTCAAAATATTCATTGGTTGTATAAATTATATCGTGAAGTCACATTCATATAATGAACTCTCAGTGAATGTTAAAATCGTGACTTCTGTAATCAGTTTTGTCTTTGGTAGTTTCATCCCCTCTCATTTTGTACAACAAATAATATAAAAGATTTTGATAAAAGAACATTGACTGCTTGATAGCTACATTGTGGCCACAGATAGGTTTGAACAAAATTACAGAACAGTCAGTGTGATTTTGAAAAATATGCATTTTAATCAAAGCAGATGAAATGTGCCTTTAATGTTCTTTTCTATGTATGTTTATTTTGGGTGTTGAACATTTAAGTTTTATTCTATAAGTGGACCAAATTTTTTTCACAGTGTCATGTCAATGATAGATTTTGAATTAGGAAAACCAAATGTATCTAATTAGAAACCTTATTTTCACTCTGTTCCTTCATTTTGAATATCACAACAAGAAATCCAAAATAGCCTAGCAGAGAGAGAGAGATGAGACTAAATCAGATTGAATATTTGAATTTATAAGATTCCAGAAGAATACTCATTGTTTGATTTAATTTCAGTTGATTAGATATACTTGACAAATGACAAACATTGATTTTTCAGTCATAAAAACAATTACAATCCAAAACTTTTTCTGATTTCCTATTTTTGGGTTTGGTGTTAATGGATCTTTATAAAGATAGTTTGTATAGAGGTGAATTTAACAAAGGGAATGGCAATACTAAATAATATTTAAATTTAATACAATTTAATATGTGATTTATGAGGAAATGATACTGAAATTATTAAGTATCACTTTTTTTTCCATAGTGTTGCTAAGTATATTTTCAAATTATTTATTTTTTTGCATTTATTTATGGTATTTGTTAATGTTTGTTCTCAAGTTTTGTCTTCATTTGTGAAAATTTAGATAAGTGTGTTTAAGTATAATCAGTGCTACGTTTGTGCTAATTTTCAAATATGCAAGTGCTTTTATTTGGAAGATGAAATTATATAAAAATGCTTGCCCCAGCCTGGTGAAAAAAATTTATTGCAGAAGAAGAAACTTTTTCAAGCCTTTGAAAAATACCCATCAAGATCCCTATGTCCTATCAATGGTATTAAAAGTGTGTGATAAAATAAATAATTTTTATCATTAGTGGAACATATATGTTCTGAAGAAATTGAATTGCTCAAATTTTTATATCTAAGAGTCCTATTTTGAGTGCTTATTTCTTAAATATTCAAATTTATTATACTTTTTATCTTCACAGAATACAAAACAGCCCGACCCCTGGTTTAAATTGTGAATATGAAAGATTGGGACATGTAAACAAGTGTTGTAAATGCTCCTTATTTTATGATTTAATATAAATACTGTTGAATTTTTGGTTTGCATGCCTCTTTATTAAATGTGATTTGTTCAAGGTCAACAGGAAGGACATCACCATTATCATATTAAACAAGGAACTTGTAAATGTTTTGCATTAAATAAATGAAACAGTGCATAAATGATAAACTCCCTATTCTGTTGAGACTCTAAAAACAATTCCTTATGTAAGTATACTTTGATGTATGATGGATATAAGATGCGTTCATGTTTTTGACAGATTACCTCACTTTTATAAAAAAAAAAATAAGTCTGCATTGTAAAAACAGCAAAACAAGTTATAAATCTTATTTTGAAATATATTTAATCATAATGATAATGATTTACACATGAAACAATTTTGTATAAAAAAGGTCTCTCAGGGTGGTAGATTCTTATATTACAACACATTTTTGTACTCTATCAATTTGACCTGAATGGGTGTGGCTTATCGTGCTATGTAATTGAGGAACGTTCTTTTAAAGAATATGTGAAAATTGGTTTTTGGTCATCTCTTTGATGTGCAACGTGTCTTTTTTATTTTTGTTGTTGTTGAGTTGCTTATTGAAGTATACCCTACATCTCCCCTTTATTCAAACAATTCATGCCAGTACACCAAGATGATTTGCTAAAAATAACACCTTGTGGTACATTGAATGTTGGTGATTTTAAGTGATTTGCTCTGAAATAACATTTCACCAAAAATCACCTGATTCATAGTAACTTTTATAAACCTATATAATTTACTGGTAACCAAACTGTTAAGTAATCACTCAAAACCAGAAAAATTGTTTTTGAATTAATTCACCTTGTAATAACCATGCTTAACACTTCTTAATCATAATTTATCCACTGATTACCTTTTTTTAAAATAAAAACTCCACTTTTGCACATCAGTTTAGGCCACACTCAATCAAATCCGTTTGTATAAGTAATGTATGTGGTATGTGATAGTTAATATTTATAACTAGACAGATGACCTGTATTTATTAACAATAGTAAATGACTTTGTTGAATGTATTGGGTGTTAGTTAAAGGATGGGGAAGGTCTTATACTGCCATGTAATATGTACCATTATATAATGCAATTCCATGTATAATCATTTCATCCCATATTGCAGAAATAAATTGCTAATAATTTTTATTCATTTTGTTGTTTTTTATGCATTCATATTTCTACAAAAAAAAGAGAACAAAATAAAACATTACATAGAGAATACATAGGTTTTCATCGATCACAGCTTTCTAGGAGGTTCTAGATGGTCGGTAATTTAGGTTCATTGGATTTGTTCAAGGTGTATCAAGTGTATTTAACTCTTGTTAATGCTGTGATGAGAAAATCAGATAAAACATCTTAAGGATAATCACTTTAATTTTCAAGTTCAACCAAATGGAGACAGTTAAGTCAAGTGGAAATAAAATTAAACTGCTATATTTTTTTTTATTAATGGTCTTGTGGGGCCTCCGTGGCTGAGTGGTCTTGAGTAGTTTAGCTACTGTATCACTAGCCTGTCAGTATAGAGATTGTGAGTTCAAATCCCGCGCTAAGCAGGAGCATTCAACTCTACTCTTAACTTTATCATTTTTTTGGCTCTGCGGATGCTCTGGCTTCCTCCACCAATAAAATCTGGCCCCACGAAATAGCCAATAAAGCTTAAAGAGGTGTTAAAACACTGCCATTCAATCAATACTGTAAATTCAGAAATTATTGCGAGGTTTTTGTCTCGCCTGCGACGAAAGTCGCAGAAAGTGAGACATAGGTATTACTATCCGGCGACGGCGGCGTAAACTATTTGTATAAAGCTTTATATTTCAGAAGGTAGAAGACCTGGATGCTTCATACTTTGTATGCAGATACCTTATGTTACGAACTTTCCGTCTGTCATATGTCCAATGTCCTTGACCTTATTTTCATGGTTCAGCGACTGCTTGAAAAAAAAGTTTTTTTGTTATGTAAATTTCTCACTTATTATGAGTAATAGGATAACTATATTTGGTATATGGGTTCCTTGCAACGTCTACATGTCCATCAGACAGGGTTCACCTGACCTCAGCCTCATTTCATGGATCAGTGATCAAGGTTAAAGTTACGTGATTAGGTCCGTTTCTCAGATACTACAAGCAGTAGGTCAGCTATATGTGGTGTATGGAATGATTATAAGGGATACATGTCAGTCTGGCAGGTTTCATCTGACCTTGACCTCATTTTCACGGTTCATTGGTCAATGTTAAGTTTTTGTGTTTTGGTCTGTTTTTCTAATACTATAAGCCATTGGTCAACTATATTTGGTGTATGGAATGATTGTAAGGTGTACATGTCTAGCTGGCAGGTGTCATCTGACCTTGACCTCATTTTCATGGTTCAGTGGTCAAAGTTAAGTTTTTGAGTTTTGGTCTTTTTTTCTAATATTGCATGCAATAGGTCTACTATATTTGGTGTATGGAATGATTGTAAGGTGTACATGTCTAGCTGGCAGGTGTCATCTGACCTTGACCTCATTTTCATGGTTCAGTGGTTATAGTTAAGTTTTTGTGTTTTGGTCAGTTTTTCTTATACTGTATGCAATAGGTCTACTATATTTGGTGTATGGAATGATTGTAAGGTGTACATGTCTAGCTGGCAGGTGTCATCTGACCTTGACCTCATTTTCATGGTTCAGTGGTCAAAGTTAAGTTTTTGAGTTTTGGTCTTTTTTTCTAATACTGCATGCAATAGGTCTACTATATTTGGTGTATGGAAATATTTTATAATCAATATGTCAGTCACACAGGTTTTAATTGACCTTGACCTCATTTTCAAGGTTCATTGCTCAGTGTTAAGTTTTTGTGTTTTGGTCTGTTTTTCTTAAACTATAAGCAATAGGTCAACTATATTTGTTGTATGGAAGAATTGTTATCTGTACATGCCTGCCTAGCATGGTTCATCTGACCTTGACCTCATTTTCATGGTTCATTGGTCAATGTTTAGTTTACTTGGTTAATGTTAAGTTTATGTGACAGTTGTAATAAAGCTATATATTATAACTATCAACATAATATCAATGATTAGTAAAGAAGGCGAGACATTTCAGCGTGTGCACTCTTGTTATTAATGCGAATAATGCGACTGAATAAGTATCGCAATATTAAGAACTCGCATTCTTATATCTGATACACATAACTGTATGCAGATTTTCCTGAAATCGCAATAAATAATCTCGCATTTAAGTCCATTCTACAAAATTCGCAATAATAAACGCACACAATAATTTCTGAATTTACAGTAGATTAATGGTCTTGTTGGCGGCTGTACTTTCCATGTTTTTATTGTGAGTTTTAATTTTACAACACATTTTCTAGATAAGGAAAGTAATGTTTGGGTATTGAGAAATCTATTATGACCTGAATCCATTTTGTCCTATCACTACTTTTAAAACTAAATATGAATATTATACTTAAACTACTCTTTTATCTTCTTTTTTTTTTAACTCAAATAATTAATTGCATTTAATCTGCTGTAAACAATTTACTATGCATACAGCTTCTATCTAGTATCATTTTTGTTATAGTTTCAGTATACAATTCCAACTACATTTTTTGTTTTACAATTTTCGTTTCAAGTAACCTGCTATTAACTTTATATCAATAAAAAGGTCATAGATAAAAGTTTCATGTTTATGTCCAGTTTTCAGGGATCCTAGCATGTATGTTAATTTTTCAGGGATCCTAGGTTGTATGTCCAGTTTTCAAGAATCCTAGGATGTATGTCCAGTTTTCAGGGATCCTAGTGTGTTTGTCCAGTTTTCAAAGATACTACTAGTATTTAAACTAGTGTGTATTTCAAGTTTTCAGGGATCCTAACGTGTATGTTCAGTTTTCAGGGATCCTAGGGTGTATGTCCAGTTTTCAATGATCCTAGGATGTTTATCCAGTTTTCAGGGATCCTAGGGTGTATGTTCAGTTTTTAATGATCCTAACGTGTATGTCCAGTTTTCAGGGATCCTAGGATGTATGTCCACTTTTCAGGGATCCTAGGATGTATGTCCACTTTTCAATGATCCTAGGGTGTATATCCAGTTTTCAGGGATCCTAGGGTTACCCAGTTTTCAGGGATCCTAGGATGTATATCCAGTTTTCAGGGCTCCTAGGATGTATATCCAGTTTTCAGGGATCCTAAGGTGTATGTCCAGTTTACAGGGATCCAAGGGGGTATATCCAGTTTTCAGGGATCCTAGGATGTATATTTCCATTGTTCAGGGATCCTAGGGTGTATGTCCAGTTTTCAGGGATCCTAAGGTGTGTGTCAAGTTTTAAGGGATCCCAGGGTGTATGTCCCATTTTCAGCGATCCTAGGGTGTATATCCAGTTTTCAGGGATCTCAGGGTGTATGTCCCGTTTTCAGCGATCCTAGGGTGTAGATCCAGTTTTCAGTGAACCTATGGTATGTTATTCTGATGAGTTGGTATTTATTTCTGAAAAAAAAATCAATAAAATATCTGCATCTTTTAATGAAAAATTTAATATTCTTTGGTTGACATTTTATCACTAACTGAGCTTGTTCAAAATTAGACCACATGGAAAACTATATTGTAAAAAGTAGTTTAAATATGTATAATAAGATTAATAACCATACTAAATACTGTTATTTTCACGGTTCATTGGTCAATGTTAAGTTTTTGTGTTTTGGTCTGTTTTTCTAATACTATAAGCCATTGGTCAACTATATTTGGTGTATGGAATGATTGTAAGGTGTACATGTCTAGCTGGCAGGTGTCATCTGACCTTGACCTCATTTTCATGGTTCAGTGGTCAAAGTTAAGTTTTTGACTTTTGGTCTTTTTTTCTAATACTGCATGCAATAGGTCTACTATATTTGGTGTATGGAATGATTGTAAGGTGTACATGTCTAGCTGGCAGGTGTCATCTGACCTTGACCTCATTTTCATGGTTCAGTGGTTATAGTTAAGTTTTTGTGTTTTGGTCAGTTTTTCTTATACTGTATGCAATAGGTCTAATATATTTGGTGTATGGAATGATTGTAAGGTGTACATGTCTATCTGGCAGGTGTCATCTGACCTTGACCTCATTTTCATGGTTCAGTGGTCAAAGTTAAGTTTTTGAGTTTTGGTCTTTTTTTCTAATACTGCATGCAATAGGTCTACTATATTTGGTGTATGGAAATAATTTATAATCAATATGTCAGTCACGCAGGTTTTAATTGACCTTGACCTCATTTTCAAGGTTCATTGCTCAGTGTTAAGTTTTTGTGTTTTGGTCTGTTTTTCTTAAACTATAAGCAATAGGTCAACTATGTTTGTTGTATGGAAGAATTGTTATCTGTACATGCCTGCCTAGCATGGTTCATCTGACCTTGACCTCATTTTCATGGTTCATTGGTCAATGTTTAGTTTACTTGGTTAATGTTAAGTTTATGTGACAGTTGTAATAAAGCTATATATTATAACTATCAACATAATATCAATGATTAGTAAAGAAGGCGAGACATTTCAGCGTGTGCACTCTTGTTATTAATGCGAATAAAGCGACTGAATAAGTATCGCAATATTAAGAACTCGCATTCTTATATCTGATACACATAACTGTATGCAGATTTTCCTGAAATCGCAATAAATAATCTCGCATTTAAGTCCATTCTACAAAATTCGCAATAATAAACGCACGCAATAATTTCTGAATTTACAGTAGATTAATGGTCTTGTTGGCGGCTGTACTTTCCATGTTTTTATTGTGAGTTTTAATTTTACAACACATTTTCTAGATAAGGAAAGTAATGTTTGGGTATTGAGAAATCTATTATGACCTGAATCCATTTTGTCCTATCACTACTTTTAAAACTAAATATGAATATTATACTTAAACTACTCTTTTATCTTCTTTTTTTTTTAACTCAAATAATTAATTGCATTTAATCTGCTGTAAACAATTTACTATGCATACAGCTTCTATCTAGTATCATTTTTGTTATAGTTTCAGTATACAATTCCAACTACATTTTTTGTTTTACAATTTTCGTTTCAAGTAACCTGCTATTAACTTTATATCAATAAAAAGGTCATAGATAAAAGTTTCATGTTTATGTCCAGTTTTCAGGGATCCTAGCATGTATGTTAATTTTTCAGGGATCCTAGGTTGTATGTCCAGTTT